TTACATAACTTGATGGCGCAAGCCTGATTCTATAAAAACACCTGTTTACATACGGCTTCCAATTTACACTTCAGAGATAACTTTTACCTGACAATGTCATGGCATGCTTCAAGACTGCAGGAAGTGAGGAAAGAATAATGTATGTTGGGGGGGATGTCAGCTATTGATGTTTTTTAATCTTGAAGGGAATCAATCAATTGGAAAAAGATTGTACAGCTTATTGGAGTCCCTATGTAACACAAATTTGTCAGTCTTAATCTTAAGATAATTTAATTGTAATATATATGTATGCATAATATTGATGAACTTAATTTGATATTTGACTTTATAACCTGATGCTTCTCCAAGTTGCTTGGGATGCTAAATCGTAATAGAATAATAGAAAATTGAAATGTTATTTTCTCAAGTTTGAAAGCATATAGATGATTACAGCTGTTATAGAAAGAAGAAAAAAATTAATTTCCAGACAACATATCTGTGTGTTATTTTTAAAAAGGACACTAATGTGTAATGATTATCATCATGACAGTTGGCATGTAGCAAAAGGCTAATTATTAATCATTGGTAAATAGGACAGTTCTAATTGACCACCACAGATAAAAAAAAGTTTACGGATTTAATTTAACGCTATAAAGTTATGAAGACTAAAATGTTAAGAACTGTCCAAGGCCAGAAATAAATCCAAAAATGGTTCAAATGAAAGACTTGCAGTTTCTTTATAAATAAAATAGTTTAAGGGGAAGAATGCTATATTTTAAAATTAGAAAATACATTTTGGGGTGGGGTTAAGTTTATGTTTTAAAGATGGCTTCATTGTGTTGGTAATGTCTTAACTTTTAGATTAAATAAATTAGAGCTTGTCCAAAAGTTTAGTTATTCTATCCATGAAGCCTACTTTAACTTAAAGATGTAATAATTTCCATTAAAAATACAAACCTATGAATTAAAAAAAAAAATTATCTGGCCTTTGCCCTGAGAGTAGAATTATTCCTTTCTGGACCCAAGGATTAGATTTAATTTTTTTGTACTCATTTTATTATTAAATCGTATTACATCAGAGAGATAAAATTCATCCCTTTTCAAGTCTTTCAATGTAAAAAGATGTTTTCCATCTGGAAATAGAACATCTATAATTTTTAGTGGAGAAATGCAAGATGTAAATATAAGTAGGATGTAGATTTGTTTAGATTTTCATGTTGTATTTGTTTTTAGAGCGGTGGAGATGTATTTTGAATTTGAGAAAAATTGCAAAAATAAAAAATAAATTAAAAAAAAAAATAAAGGGATTGCTTTTCTTCACTATAAATACTCATGTAGTCCCTTGAGTCACACAGATAAGCTGGTTATGGCAAGAGATGAAAATACTTTTTGTTATACATTTAAGGATACCCTGTATAGCCTCAGTTACAGTTTCCAGTGGGTCTAATTCAACCATGACCATGTAAAGCAAACAGCAGTTAGCAATCACAGGTTGTAAAACAGGCAAGATGTTGGGATGCACTTACATGGGAGAACAATGTCAACTATTTTCCACAGTGACATCTTTATATAAGACGATGCTGTGTGCATTCTCCTTTTGAAAAAAAAACAACAGTACCCTGGATACCCCTATGTCTATGGTGAAATCATGTTCCCTTCAAACTGTTTGAAGGGGTAGCATAGAAATTTACATTTTCTGCCAGGCTCTAAAACTTATATAATATTATATTTGGAACAGTAAAATCCGTAACTGTCACCAAAGTAATTAAAGACTACAAACATTTGATTTTGAAATGCAAACTGTAATATAAAATGTTTATATTCTTAACAGTTTAATAAAGTATTCCTGGAGTTTATATTACAGAACTACAATAGTGAACTTAATGAAAACTTGCATTTTTAAGGGTTTTTTAAAGTATTCAACAGCTCGAATGTTAGAATGTTACGTCTACCGTCATTAAAATATAATATTGTTAAAAATCTAATTATTTAATTTAATATAAAAATATGGTCTCCAAATTGGGCCCAAACTTTGAATAAAATGTATTATTATTGCATTCAAAGTACAGATTTGTATTTGTGACAAAATGAAGAGATGTAGTCTACATATATTATGTCAGGGTGTACCAATCCACTTTTAAAACATTAAACTTCATTTGCTAGAGACCGAGATGAAGTATAGCAAAGGGAGAGGACCAAATTAATATTCATTTTTTTTTAAAGAAAAAAAAGACCGTTTCTCCCTAAAATTTCAAACCATTTAACGATTTTCGCCTACTGTTTGTCGAAACGTGGCCTAACGAGCTCCGATATATATATATAGAGATATTATATATCTCTCTATATATATATATATATATATATATATATATATATATATATATATATATATTTTAATATATGAGTTATGCAACCAGTAAACAACATAAAATTCCACTTTTTAACTAATAAGTGGGTTTCTATTATACTCTCAAGAGATACCATGAAACAAATGTCCCAAATAATAGATAATAAATTAAAAGTGTCATTTTTTCCCCTCGTTTTGTTTATATAATTTATGGCTTTTATGCAGAGGTTCCCATAAATTTTCGACTAACGGCAACCTTGGAGGCCATCCATTAATGAAGTCAAGCAACTAAAAAAAACGGGGAGGGTGACGATGAAAAAAAAAGTGTTTTTGTATCAGGGGGTTTGGGGGGGGGGGCGGTAGAAAAATTCCTTGACGACATTTATAAATGGTCCAATGCTGCAAACCGAAAGAGCGATTATTTTTGTTTTATAATAAAATATGCTAAAATTGTAAAACACGTTTCTAAGTTAGCTGAGTTCACAAACGTGTACTTGAGAAAATTCATCTAATTAAATTAAAAGTAGTGGGATGGATGAGCCTGTTGATCAACGCACATCTTCTCAATTATTGGAATAAAACTGAACCTCTGTATATTTTGTCGCTTAGTTAGTCCATGAAAATTGCGTGAACAGGCGGAACTACATTACAAAGCTTTCATGAAATTTAAAAAGGGAAAATGGTAGGAACTATTTCCTCTCCAGTGAGCGAGCCCATGTATATCAGATCCTGTTTTCAACTTCCCCTCTCGGTAGCTCAGTTAGGCTATTGTTGGTTGAACATTTGTTCCAGTGGCGTATCCCGATAGAAAGGAACAGAAAAGGGGAGAATGCACAGGAATGATTAAGGTTTATTGCCTATACAAATGCTATTATAGAAAAAAGTATGAAGAATAAGAACCTATTTGCTTGAAATGTAATAATTTAAACCCCCCCCCCCAAAAAAAAATAAATAAAATAAAATAAAAAATAAAAAGATAATAAAATAAAAACGATCGAAATAACTACTTATAATCTTAGCAAATAAAACTGAATCTTTATCAACAATTATTCTAGTTGTTGCATAGCAGCGAACTAGGGGCGTAGATGGCTTTTTTTTTTAAACAAAAGAGGGAGGGTGTTCAACCTTAGCCATCTTTTGGGCACTCATGGGATTAGGATTATTAAAAATAAAAGTTTCTTGACGCCAGCAGAAGGTCCAGACCGGCTCCCCTGGTTGTGGAGAGCGATGCTTGCTCTAGCTCTCTTTCCACTGGCTTACCAGCACCACCACTGATGGGGAGCTTATAAGGCCCGACAAACTAGCTGCCACCAACCAAGCAAAGACTCGATCATATGATTGAACGCCTCGAACTTGACAAAGTCGTTTGGTCTACACCGTGACCAATTTCTGAAACTCTTCATTGACACTAGTAGTCTATGCCTACTCAAGTTGCACAAGCGTGGACCCAGCAGTTTTTTTTCCGAGGAACAGTTGTCTCACTTTGACTAAATCCTTAAATTAAGAGCTAAATGAGTCTAGTCTAAATCGAGTTTTAAATGAAATCTTAGTGAATGATGTAACAACAACAACAACAAATTAAAAAAAAAAAAACCCACAAAAACCCCCAAAATATACCCGCATACAAAGGAAGGCTGCACTAAATCAACGTTAGAATTGTGAAAAAAATTGGCTACTGCGGATAGGACTACTGATATATAGGTAGGCCCATTTTTAAAAAAAGTTCAGATTTAATGCCTTAACTCTCATTAGTCAAAAAATAAGTAGGCTGTTACTATTTTCTGTTCCTTTTATTTATCTTACTTGGCTTTAAAAAACAACAACGTATGACTATGTTACAAAAGCGTATGTAAGGGGCGGTACGCCTCTGATGGCACTTTTTTCTTTAAATAGGTGTGGGCGAAAAAGAAATGCTTGCAGGTCTTATAGTAAACCTACCACTTAGTTTATGACATGGGCGGCACAATATCTCGATACGCCATTGTGTTACAGGCTTATGAGGTTGCCCTAAATCCACATTCTATAAGTTTGACATAATGGCATTTCCCCAACTCCCCACATTAATTATTATTTCTAAATCATACCCCCCCCCCCACTTTTTTTTACACACACACACACAAACAAACACTAAGGCTTAAGTAATCCGCTTAGTATTTATTTTGGCTTATAGATACTTCTCTTGTATTTATTATTATTTCTAAATCAATCCCCCCCCCCCCACTTTTTTTTTACACACACACACACAAACAAACACTAAGGCTTAAGTAATCCGCTTAGTATTTATTTTGGCTTATAGATACTTCTCTTGTTTTTGGGCGTGGCATAGGTAGCAAAGCACTGAAAGAAGCCTCACGTATATATTATAATGACAGTGACAATATAAATTTATTTTTGTTTATCTGCTTTTCAGTCATAGTGGCCTGCCCACGTTCAACAAATCGATACAGCAGGATACAATTATTGCAATCTTGTTGATTTGAAAATTAATTTTTCAGCTTGACGATTTGTTTACATTTTAGCCATATTTTAAAAGGCTATATAAGTTATAATTAGAAGGTTCCTTAATTTATTTATCATAACTTGAAGTCTTAACTTATTTTTTTTTTCTTTACAGGTGGGCGTTTTCTGAAGCTGAGGAAAATATTTACTATTTTAAGTAACAGGAACTCCACCTGACTCATATTTTTTCTTGCTCTGCGCAGGTCCAAAATGGCGACCATCTCTAAAGTCACAGCCAGAGATATGTGAACCTTGTTTAATATTCTGATAAATGATGGAAACTGTTTACTATTTCAGCACCTTCGGATAATGGATTTAGCGGAAATCTAAGATTTTTTTGGGGAAATTACCAGTCTTCAGGGCTTTTTATCATAATTCTGTCAAACTTAATCAAATTATCTTCAGCAATCCCAACTAAAACAGGAGACAAACAGGCGTGAAGCGACGAAGAGTCAAAACAAAACTTATCATCGTAAAACTAAAACGTCAAGAGACCACACCGCGCTGTTTGAGAAGCAATAATAAGTGTAATAAAAGTGAGGACATAAACATCAAGTTACTTTTAACATTAAACTCGATATGTTCCTCATATATGATGGTTTGCCACAGGCCCAGTTATAATATAGGCCTACTTCTTATTAAAGTTTACCTAAGTTTTTAGGCTTACACTCCACAACTTCCTCTACCCTAACTCTATCCAATTCAAAATGAGTTCACATAATCACACTTCAGTAATCAGTTTCCATAACAAATTTCCATTAAAAGGCATGACATTCAAAATTGGGTGACTTGACACTTGCCTTCATTATTGGCACTTTTTGAACTTCATACTTCATCAGTATCAGAATAACTAATATTCATTATCATTCAATGAATTCAATCATTAGCTTTACTTAAAAAGGCTGAGCCTAAGGATAAACTAAATACTAAATGATGTCACTGTCATCATGCTATTTTGGCCAATTATTACCTTTAACAGCCCACCCATAGTTGGAAATTTGTAGCACAAATTATACACTTTTATCATCATAATCATACATCATCACAAATCGGTGACCCCGCCCCCCTTAGACAAGTGACACCATTTATGGATGGTTCCTATAATAAGCCTAGCTCTAATGCCTTATCCAATGAATTAACTTAGTAATATACTAATAGTTAAAGCCATATGCTATCCAGGCATTCTAGGTTAATCTCTCATTTTACTAAAAAGTTAAGGTCCTAAGTTCAATACAAAATAAATAAGCCTAGGAAGCCTAGGTCTATCATATTTATTTAAATTTGTAATTATTGCTATATTTATTAAAAGTATGAAATAATTAACCTATTCCATTTTACAGTTGCGAGTAGAACAAAAAAAATTTAAGTTTGAGCCATGTTTGTCAATTGTGATTTATACTGAATTATACTGAGATCCCTTCCATATTTATTAGGTTTTCTACTTAAATATGGAGATCTTCTGACACTTATGTTTTTCAATTCTTCTGTAATTCTGTTTTTTTTGGTCTTGTCTGCTGTTGAAGAAATCATCTAGCCAAATGTTCTTTTGTCTTTTCATTTCAAGCGTAAGCATATCTTTGTACACTATTCTTTTCCTTCAAGTATAAAAAAATGTTGTTTGTTTCAGTGAAGAGCAGAGTCCCAGCAAACAATCATTATTATTATTATCATAGCCCTAATTTTATGTCAAATTTTATATACTAATGAGATTCAATGAGATCAGATCCTTTGTTAGACAAAAAAAAAATGATTTTCTTCTTGTCATTGTCAGTTCAAATATAAAAAATTAAACTCTGGCAAAATGTTGTAGTTCTATTATTAATTGAGAATGCCATGTTATGTTGAAAATTCTTTCCTCTTGTTTACAGGGGCAAAAGAACAATCTAAAAATGTCTTTCTTGAGTGGCTTCAAGAAGCTATTTAGGTTTGGTGCAGATGATGGCAATGACAAGAAAAAAGGACAGTGGAATGTAAATATAAAAAAAGATGTGGATCCAAATCAGTTCTGGGAAATTACTGGAGAAATAGGAGAAGGAGCCTTTGGTGCAGTTTATAAGGTTAGTAAAGATTGCACTGTTTTGAACAATTACTAAAATATTAAGGGAAAAAAAATAATTGTGAAGTAAGTTTTTGACTACAAATTGCATCAATAATCAGTTTTAATTTTTATTTTCCAGGCACGAAACAAAGAGACAAATGAGTTTGCTGCGTTGAAGCAAGTTGAGATTAAAAATGAGGAAGACTTAGAGGACTTCTCCGTAGAAATTAATATATTGGCTGAATGCGCACATAAAAATATCGTTGGCCTCCATGAGGCTTTTTTCTTTGAAAACAAATTATGGGTAAGTAAACAAGAACATAAAGGTTTTACATTTTAAAAAAGTATGTCGCCAGAAGTTTATTTTCCTAAATTCAGTTAAGGGAAAGAAGTCTTGTTGCAAGCTATTTAGATTGGCAGAGGTGTTGAAATGAGAAAATGTATTGTAATTGTAGTAAAAATGGCATTTATTAGTATAAAATGGAAATAAATAATACTTTTAAATATATATCTTGCAAACAGGCACATATCCAAGATTTATTTTTCAGGCTTCCTGTAAGACAGTGAGGAAGTAGTGTTGGCTTATTGGAAAAAAAAATTTTAATACTCATTTATAAACTGGCAAATCCAAAATAACAATATGTAAATGTCTTTATTTTTGACATTTAAAATATGCCTTTTGAAAAGCTTGTTTGAGTATTTTAATGGATCATGTGTACTGTATGCTTAATACTTATATTAATTAAAACAATAGTTAGGTTTAATTTGATATCAAACAAATGGTACAAAAATATTGACAATAGCAAATGGTGAAGGGTGCAAATATTGTGGTAGAAAGGGGCAGGTGGCTGTATGCTTTTTATTTTTCTTCTTCTTTGCCATTCTCAACTCCCAGTGGAGCAAAGGCCACTTACAATATCCTTCTACATCTTCTGGTCTCTTGACATCTTCTCTAAATCTTTCCAATCTTAAGTATATTCTTTTCTACCTCTTTGTTATCCATTTTTCCTTCTGTTTGGAATTTCTTCCTTAACTGGGATTTTTAGGTGAGGGATGCGAAATATTTTCAAAGAAATACTCTTTGAGGAAAACTTACTTAGGAAGCACATCTTTTTTCATATTATTTCTCAGATGTTTATTGAGTATTGTGGTGGAGGAGCAGTAGACTCTATCATGGTGGACCTGGAGAAGCCCCTTACAGAGCAAATGATTCGCTATGTTGCTCATGAAATGTGTGTAGCCCTGGCCTTTCTGCATGAACGTAGAGTTATACACAGGGACATTAAAGCAGGAAATGTTCTACTTACACAAGAAGGAGAAGTCAAACTGGGTTGGTGGATTATAAATGACTTTACACATATATGATTGTTTGCCAAATCTTTGAGTTTTGTTTTCATGGTTTCCTAACTTAAACACTTTCTTCCTTAATTGATAATATTAGAATGAAAGAAACAGTTAAAATTTTAAAAAGTTAGAATAATTTATTTATATTTCATGTTTTATTTTGAAAAAAACAGTTAAAATTTAAAAATTTAGAATAATTTATTTGTATTTCATGTATTATTTTGAAAAAAAAAGTTAAAATTTTAAAAGTTAGAATAATTGATTTGGTTCCGTGAAATAAGCGCACACGACAAACGCGCACAGAAAATTCCGCAAAGACATAGTTGTTCACAGGAAAACTGCGCACACCGACAGTTGCGCACTCAGAAAATTGTGTACACCGACTAAAGGTTGTTGTTGGTCTTCAACGTAAAAGACAAGTCGGCAATTATAAGTGGCTATGATTATAAATACACATTTTAAAGAAGAAATACTGATTTTTAAAACTATACTCAAAGACTATACACAAATATAATAATAATATTAGTAATTATATACGTAACAACAGATTTATGGCACCAAAAGTTACATTTCTTTGTGGCAAAGAAGAATTATTTCTATTAATATTTAATTGACAGCAATGCTCCATTAAAAATATTTAAAGATAATTTGATGACAGTGATGAAGACAACTGTATGCATCATAGGCATAAGTCGTAAGACTTAATAAGTTGAATAAGAGTCAAGATTGTGATTACTGTATGGAAAGTATTACGTTTACTTTTAAATTATAGTCGCATTAAGCAAAATGACGCCTGTAACTGTAGGCGTAAGCAGTGTTATATTTTCAATTCAATAGACTTGACAATTAGTAGGCTTACGTAGGCCTACAACGTCGTAATGAAGTATTATAATTATAGTTTAAAATATTAATTATAGTTTAAATAATCTTCCTACTACGCCTAGTACCTAAACATAATGGAGTTGTAGGCTATCTTATATTTTTAAATAATATAGTTTAAAATAATCTTCCTACCCTAAGTCTTAGTCGAGGCCTAATTATGCTTTAATATTCATTATAATTATAGTTTAAAATACGGTAATGGTCCACCTACTAGTAACCTACCTAAGCCTAATTGAGTTTCATTATAGTAGTTAAAAATAACTTCCTTAAGTTATACTAGTTATAGCCTATAGAATGCTCTATACTCATACAGATAATCCAAATATCATATACTTGCTATATTAATAAGTTAAAAAAAAGAATAATATTAGCAGATTACGTTTTACTGTAGTAAACTCAGGAAAGCAATCATAAAATTACCCAAGCAGAATTAAGGATATTTCTACTATAATTTATTTTGTAATTGTAAGAACTGAACTGTTTTCCTTAGTTTTTTTTTCTCTCAGTGAAATATATTTAGTCCTACTATTTATTAGCCTATTTATTGTTATATTATTGTAAATTTGTTGGTTAATGTCTCAGTGATTAACTAATGTAGTTTTTTTTTTACAAAGTCTTTTGACATAATTCATGCTTATGAATAGTATGATAATGATTGTGAGTGTAAATAATGGAAGGTCATTTCCACCAAGCAGAGTTAAGACAGACAGTTTCCTGTTCTTAAAACAAGAGAGGATTTAAGGAAATTTTGAATCCCAATGGATTTGATTTATTGAATATATTTTTATTACACAAATGAATAAATGCAGGATAACTTTTAGTTTTCTACAAAGGGTATGCACTAATTATAATGCTATATGATTGTGGTCTTGATAATGGTAGGTACTAATGATTTATGATTGTGGTCTTGAAAATGGTAGGAAGGCCCTACTAATGTTATATGATTGTGGACTTGAAAATGGTAGGCACTAATGTTATAAAACTGTGGTCTTGAAAATCAATTTGTAATGGAAAAAACTAGTTAGCATTATTTTCCTCAATATTTTCAATAAATGACCATGGCATCATCTACAGAAGGTTTCAGACCTCTGGCTTGGTTAAATGTTTTCTTTTATTTAAAGAAAAATTGTTTTTGTTTTGTCTACTAAATTTTAATCCAGCACAAAGTACTTAATATGAATTTTTTGTGATAATTGTTGAAATGTTTTTCTTTGAAATTAAAAAAAAAACTATAATTATTTACAATAGTTTAATATTTTTAATTTTTGAGGGTAGCATTTTATTCAAAATCTTGTCTAAATTACTGTAACTTTTTAAAACAAAGTTTACAGCATTATTCATTTGAAATTTTAATGTGCTGCAGTCTTGTATTCTGGTATGTGCTAGAAAGATATCACTTTAATTGCATCTGAATATCATAATATTCACATGCAATTTGTCTTTTTAAATTGACATGTTTAATTATTTTAAAATAAATCACTTTAAATTTATTAAATATTTAGAAACAAATGTAAATTAAGGAGCATTCAATTAATTTTAAAATGATATACAATAATTTTAGGGGGCTACAATTACTACAAAATCAAAAGCCATGACACATTGATAAATATTACTTTGTGAGAGATCTTAAGATGTTTGAAAGAAATAACATGCTTTGTTATGGTTGCAGCAATATTTTTTTTTTATAAATAGGATTTAGTTTATTTTATTATTATTATTATTATTATCATACAAAGTTAACTCCAAGTAGTTTTGCATAATAAAATTAAATCTAGAAACACAATTTTAAACACAACAATTATTGTTCCTATTATACTATTATTGTTAATTTTATTGTTTCAAAAAATTTAACATAAGAATAATTTACATTAATTAATGATTAATTTTTATGGTAAATTAGCCTGTTAGCACTATAATTACGCAGTTAAAAAAATGTTTCGCTATTTAAGTTTTTTTCGTTTAAATTATTTTTAAATTCAATTTTTATCATACTGTCTCACTGATTTGTAGACTTGTATTCTTCCCAACTTGCCTTTTGTGCTGATAGGCAACTGAACTGAACCATGTTAAATCTAAAAATGTGGCTTAAAATAAAATGTCAATGAAATTTGCGCATTTGTGTGTATTTGCTATTGTCAACATTCGCAATTGTCAGCGTGCAGATTTTTCTGTGTCTGCATTTGTCGGTGTGCGCTTTTTTCTGTGTGCGCAACTGTCGGTGTGCGGAGTTTTCCTGTGTGCAACTATGTATTTGCGGATTTTTCTATGCGAGTTTATCGTGTGCGCGTTTGTCTTGTGCGCATATTTCTGGTCACCAATTTATTTATATTTCATGTATTATTTTGATAGCAAATTTTTAGCCTCAGAATTAGCCCTATTGGAGAAATATGGAAACTTATTTTTTTACTAAAATTATTAGCGATTTTATTTTGTTTTCACTTTAATTCTTTCAGCTGATTTTGGTGTATCAGCAAAAAACACAAAGACTGCACAACGCAGGGACACTTTCATTGGAACTCCTTACTGGTAAGCTGAAACTTAACCACTGCTCATCATTAGAATTATTAACGTTCTTACAGACATTATTTCTATACTTTTCTCTCATATTTTATATTTAAAAGAGTTAGTAGAACGAACGACTACCTTAAAAATCTGTGCTGCAAATGTCTTGCAGATATGTATTTAAATGTTGGTGGAACGTCAAGAGGAGTGTTGTGGACCAAATTTTATTGACCTGATGTTGCAAGAAGATAGCCATAGCTCTATTTTTGTGAATGAATATCACAATTCTTGTGCTCTGAGAAGCTTTATCATGATGTTGATAGGTTATAACATGATGAAGTCCCTGATCACTAAAACATGATGAAGTCCCTGATCACTTACTTATAACATGATGAAGTCCCTGATCACTGGAGACTTGTTTTTTATTTTATCATATAGTAATTAGAAGAAGCTGAGGTCATTTTAGGAGAGATGGTTTTGGATCAATTTTATATTTACCTTTTAGGATGGCCCCAGAAGTTATATTATGTGAAACCCTTAAGGATGTACCATATGATTACAAAGCAGACATTTGGTCCTTAGGTAAGTGTTTTATTACTCAGTGGAATTATTTAAAGGAAAAATGCAATACTTTACAATTTTAATTACTGTTGGAGCTATTGGAGAAATTTTTGTTAGCAAAGTATTTTTTAAGGTTAAACTAATTATTTTCTCCAGGTATAACATTGATAGAGTTTGCCCAGATTGAACCTCCAAACAAAGAAATGCATCCGATGAGAGTCTTGATCAAAATTCAAAAGGCTGATCCACCCGGATTTGACAAACCCTCTAAATGGTGAGGAGTCTTTATATTAATTGATAAATAATAGATGTTCTTTGTCAAGTGAATGTTTTATTGATATAACATTTTTACAGCATTTCCAATTCATTTAAACTTTCATTTAAATAAATCTGAATTTTGTGAGAGAAATTTTATTTTTTTAAATTTTTTGTTAGAATTTTTTTTATCTTGCTTAAAATAAGTTTGTTTTCACCTTTAACTTGTGTTGAAACTTCTTCATTTTTGCAGGTCAAAGGATTTTAAGGACTTTGTTAGCAAATGTTTGATAAAGAATCCAGAACAAAGAGCAACAGCACAGGAGCTCTTAGAAGTATACAGATGAAATATTTTTTTCTAATTAATTATTAAAGCTTAAAATAACAAATTTCTATTGAAAAATTATGAGAGGTATTGTAAAATTAAAAAAATAGTTTTTCCAGTTTTTGTTGCTACATACATTAACTAAAACTTATTAACTGAATTTATTTGCCTGGGCTAGATGGCTTTAAAAGCATACAATTTTACATTAACTTTATTTAGTTGCTTGGGCAGGTGGGCCATTAAAAAAATATAATTTGTATCACTGGTCAAAACCTTTAGATTTTAACATTTAAACCCTTAGCAAGCACACCACTACAGAAATGCAATAATTTATTCTTAAACATATTTGTACAATTTAAAAAGAATTATACCTAATTCAATTAAAGATTTATTGTTTTGGTTCTGTTTTCCACAGCATCCATTTATCAAAGGTTATGTCGACAAGAAAGCCATCATGGATTTAATCTATGAAGCCAAGGCTGAAGTTGTAGAAGTAGTAGAAGACTTAACTGAAGAAGAGGATATTTTAGCCATCAAGGTTCTAAGGGCTTTTTAACATTAGTTTTATTCAACAATTTAAAAAAAAAATTAAGTTTATATTTATTTATTCAAAATTCTTGTTTTATTTTAAAAGGATAAAAGTGATTTCATTTTGATTTTAAAATGCATGACTTTAAAAATTTTTTTTCTTCCTTTTTTAAAACAGAGAAACATGAGTGCAGATTCACAATCAATAGATTTAGATAGCATCTCTCTTGCAAGTGATGAGAAAGATAAGGTAACTCTGGTTGGATTTAAATTAAAGGGATATGATTCAAATACCAGTAGAATTTTAAGTAAGAAAACTAAAAAAAAAAACAATAATATTATCAGTGGTTTGGACAATTTAAACTAGTACTTTTTTTTATAAAGTTCCTAGGAAACCTTTACAGTTTAAAGTTTCGCTTACAATAAAGAAAAACATAATTAATATTGCAAGAAGCCACTGTAATTGTTAATTGTTATTGAAATGGTAACTTTTATCTTCCGTGTTACACATTTAAACATGAATTTTTTAAAAAAAATTGCAATACCTTTCTTATTAATTTTATATTCAATTTTAAACATCTAATTTTATATTCAATTTTAAACATTCATTACTCTATTTCAAACAGGAGCATAATGATTCACGACTGTCAACAGTGGTAGAAATTACTGTTACAACCCCTGAAAAATCTCCAGCAGTCAAACGCAAGCCCGCGCCATCTCCTCCTGAGGTGATACCAGTAATACCGACTGTTACTTCAACAGCTCAGGTTGATGAAAAACCTGCCATTTCCTCTGATGAGGGCATTGGGGTTAGTGGAGATGATAAATCTAGCTCAGGAAGTTCAGAGTCTAGTCAGGTAAAAAAAAAAATCAAATTGCTTCATGTTGAATGACAGTATTTTTTAAAAAAAGATTACCAGTAGTTAAATTGGAATTGTTATACTGGAATTTGAAATTTTCCTCTTTAAGTTAATTTTAAGACCCAAAATAGTTTTAGGAATGAAAAAAAAAAAAAGACTCGCCTAGGGGAAATAAATGATTCAGGGCATCAGTGTTAAGCAGTGTATGCATTTATAGGCAATATTTAAATTTAAATTGTTTTAATGTAATGAATAAATGTTATTAACTGATTCTTATCCATCATTGAATAATTGTAGGTATTGTAAGTAATTGTGATTTAATTCATTTATATCCTAATTTTAACTCATTTTTTCCCAACTTTCTGTAGAGTTTCAGCCCAGCAAAATTGAAAGAAGTTGATGAAGTTGTTGCACCTGTGATCACAGAGCCCAGCGCTGAAAGTGGTGAGGCCATTTCTTCCGAGATTGTCAGTGATATCATTGATGATGTCCTCAATTCCACCACTCTAGAACCTTCAGTTGCTAGTGTTGTCTTTGATACCTTCAGAGATTTTGTATCTCCTGATGAAACAACTGATGTTAAAGAGGGAGATGAAGTTTTGCCACTGGTTCTTCCAAATACTGATCCGATCGTTGAGGTGAAATCACTAGAAAAGTCTGATGAAATTAATATGGGTTCTAAAGAAAATCTCACTGATCTAGAAAATATAAAGAAAGGTTCTAAAGAAAATCTCACTGATATAGACAATCTGAAATATTCGGATGAAGATATGGACATTATTGATGATAAACCAGTGACTGAAACAAATACAGTTACTGTGAATGGTTTTGTACCTCCCAGCGAGCCACTTCATCATGATAAACAATCATCTCCAAGGGAGCATGAGACCAACCAGGTCAATGCCTCTCATAAACCACATGAATCTCCTGATGACAAAAAGCTTCTTGAGCAGGTCAAGGACCATGTGGCTCCTGGTCTAGCCCCATCTCTCAATGTGCCTGTAGCCGTGCCTCAAACAGATCTGGATACTTTTGAAACAAAAATGATTGATGAAGTGATTAACATGGATGAAGACTCAGACAAGCGTTCTGACTCTGGCAGTGTAAATACTCTTGACAGTGACTTGCATGATACAGAAAAGGATGGTGATGTTGTCCAGAGACGACAAAAGAAGGGGCACATCCGTCCAAGGAATGTAAGTTTGTAGATTCATTCCCTTTTGAGAGCTATTTATAAAATAAAATAATTATTTGAATATAATGTATATTTTACTTTTGTAGAGAAATGTAAACAAGGTTTTATCACCATCTATATCAGTATAAATCAAATTTTGTCTTACTTGAAGTTATTTATGTTTAGCAAACATAAATTTTGACTAGATCTAACAATGTAGATGGGTAATCTTCTTATTTAAACTCGATGCAATTTTAAAATTGTTATAACTGTAGTTAACCTGTTCTTAAACTACATCAGCTTCTTGAGTACTTTGAAACATATCAAATTATGAATGTTATCATTATTTTGCTGTTGAAATAATGGCAGTGACAACCAACCAAAATGGTTCAAAATTCAGATGGAATTGTTAAACAGCCACCACTTTTTTTTTTGTTTTTAAATAAATCTGATAATAGGCTAATACAAAAGTTGAATATATTTCAGAACAACTTTCTGTTCATATTTTAAAATATTTAGTTGTAATTCATGTTGTACAGATTAAATATATAATTTGTGATTTTTATATACACATCTATTAGAGAATATTGATTAACACATCTATAAGATTAATTCATTAACTTCAATATAGATAATAAAATGAATCTTAGGTAAACAAATTTTTTACAATAATTTTGCAGGAGAGTAAGAGTCATTACAGAACTATTGCCAAAACTCGTACCTACATGAAAGATGGCCAAGTTGTAACATCGACCATTACTAAAGTCATAGCAACGGGTGAGGAGAACCGGGTCAGAGAGGATCATTTACACAGGTTGGTACATGTCAGCCATCTTATCTGATTGTCATACATCTGTTGACATATGTCTGGATCAATCACATACCTTCTATCTTTTACGTTGTGGGGTCTGTTGACCCCAACTACACAGTATGTAGAAGATCCAGAAAACAATAAAGGGAATTATGAGCTGTGAAACATTGAACATAAAAAAACAAAAATGTATTCCTATTTTGCATTTAAAAAAAAAAAGTAAAGCATGAGTATGTCTTGTACATGCATACAGTCAAATACCATATTATTAATGTTAAAATTTGAATCCAAAATTTATATACAACTAAAAAATAAGGGTTAGAAATATTTTAAAATATAGTGGTCCATTGCAACAGATACAAACAAACAGCACCTTGCAATTACCAATGGCTGCAATTTACACTGAACTGAATACATATTCACTACAATGTGACTATATAATTGAAAGATTTAAATATCATAAAGGGTTTATTCAGTTAGGTGGTGGACTACTACTTCTTTAACATCTTGAGGGCCCACAATCTGATCATTCTGGCTCCTATATTTGTAGAAGGGTTCATGATGTTTCTGTGCATGGTTTTGAAGAGGATATTTGACTGGTTGCAAGGGCTACTCGGAGGGGTTTTAGGAACTGGGGGCTGGAAGGCAGGAGGCAATAGATGCAATCGTGTTCAGTGTTGTCGCCTCTATTGTTCCTTCTGAAGCTTGTTCCATTCCTTGATTGTCTTTGGCCGGAATGAGCAGATCCTGTCCTGTGTTCTTGCTGTAATGAGCCGGAATTGCTTGTCATGGCCTCGCCGCTTTCTAGGAGGAGATGGGGGAGTTCCTGTTTAATGCTGGAGCATTAGAACAGCCCAATTTTTATCTTGATCGGCATGAAGAGTCAGGATAATCGTCGCCATTCTTCCAATGGTGACCAGCCCAGTATGCTGCGAACACTTTAGGCGCTCTTGTGGTTCAGGACAAAGCGTGCTGCCCGTTGCTGGACCGCCTCCAACCTATCGATTAGGGGTGTGCCGGATCCGTTTTTTCCAACCGGATCCGGATTTTCTTATGCGAAATCCTCCGGATTCGGATCCGGATTCCGGAATAAACCGGATTCCGTTTTCTCCCGGATTCCGGATTTTGGTACTATTGGTAGATACTTCGGTAAGTCAAGGTGGACTACTACTTTTTGTGTATGGGAATTCGCAATCGGCGCCAAAAAATCCGAGTTTTTAATTTTCCGATGTGTGTCTATTTATTTTATTAAATTAGTACTTTCGATATATATTTGAGTTCCGTTCCATTTGGATAAGTGTCTTACGAGAGACGCCATGTTTCTACGCGTTCGCAGCAGGTCATGCAGCTCGCTCAACCTAATTTCGCCATGGGGTTGGCCACGCCCCCCTTTTTAATGGCGGAAGTTGACGATACTTAGGAAATATTAATTTATTATCACTATTTACATCAAAATAATTGATAACTTGTGTTTCAGAATGCATTTAAAGACATTTAAACTGGAATGTTTTAATTTGAGCTTTAACAACCCGGTAGAATCCATATTATAAATGATCAGAATTTACCGTGTGCAACACGTTGTCATTGGCAACCATTCACAGCCACTTGCATAACTGTATCGTAGTACTACCTCAGAGTTTCATTCATAAGAGTTTGCCGTGTGCAAAAACTATTAAACCATTGGTCAGGGAAAGCTTTAATTAATTATTCATGTGCCAAAGTTGAAAGTTTAAACTAAGTCTAAACAGTATTTTAGTGATAAGGCAGGGAATGCGTTGCCTTATATAAACTATATAGTCATTGCGCATGACGGGATTGGTGGAATGAGATCACAGAATGTGGAGATGCAGTCCATGTTAAAAAATGACAAACCAAGTCGTACTTTAAAAATTCATAACTTTAAAACTACAACAGCTAAAAATATGATTTTGGTGTTATAATTCTTTAAAAAATTACATCTTTTCAACTATGCCATTGGTTTATTTTTACAAAAAGTTTAAATTTTCTTATCAAAGTCCCTACACTATTGGCCACTATTAGCGGTGCTGACTCTAGCCTCTGGTATGTACGGAATATTAAACATTAAACAAGCTCAACGCTCGAAACAATCGATTAATGTATCGTGATCGTGTGGAATTCGGGAAAGAGAATTACTTTTATTTCAGATTATGATCCGGTGAGTCACAAAATCTGGCAAATTCCGAAATCCGGTATATTCCGGATTCCGGAATCCGGTTGTTCCGGATACATGTAAATCCGGCGGAACCGGATTTCACCGGATAGTGCAAAATCCGGCGGAACCGGATTCCGGCACACCCCTACTATCGATGCTCTTCTGGGTGAATGGGTCCCAGATTGAAAATGCATATTCTAAAAGCAGCCAAACGTTTTTTCTTTCATGCTGGAGTTGCAGATCCTCAGATTTCGCCTTAGGAACCCTAGGGTCTTGTTTGCCTGGTTGCACACATTGTTAATGTGCTCGCCCCAGCGGACTTCTCTTTGAATGGTAACACCCAGGTACATTACGGAGGAAACTGGCTCATGCAGTTGGTAAGGGTGGTGTAGAGGGGTTCTTCTTCTGGTGACTGACAAGGTCTGTCACTTGGCAGGATGAAATTCCACGTCCCAGCTCCTCTCCCACTCAGCTAACCAATGGAGGTCCTGTTGTAGCTGATCCTGGGAGCTGTTCACCACCATGGCGTCTGCAAACAGTCTTGCTTGGGAAGTCAGCATCTCGGGCAGGTCATTGAAATATGCTAGGAACAAACAGGGGCCTAGCACCCAGCCCTGGGGGACCCCTGACTTAACGCCAACAAAGGAGGACCTTGTGTCGTTTACCACAACTGCCTGGCATTGGTCGCTCAGGAAGCTAGAGATCCATGTTTTGGTAGTACCTTGGATCCCATATCAATGAATTTTATATGATAGCAAACTATGATTGACACTGTCAAATGCCTTTAAGAAGTACATCAGTAGCACGTCAGTTTGCTTGCTGTTCTTCAGATTATCAAGTCTTCTACAAATTGGAGTAGCTGGGTCTCACATGACTTGGAAGCCATGCTGAAAGTCATTGAGTATATTTTGGCTTTCAAATGCTTCATGACTGCACTTATGATTATGTGCTCCAATAGTTTGCATACCATGCTGGTGAGGGATACAGCATGGTAGTTGGCAGGGTCGTAATCGTCTCCTTTCTTGTAGATAGAGTGAAATGCGCTGCTCTCCAGTTTAATGGACCATTGCCTTTGCACAGTGACGATTGGAAGAGGATTGTCAGTGCAGGAGTGATTTATTGGCCAATTCTTTGAGCACTCAAGCGGCAATTGAAATGTCACATTAAGAAATGGCGCCAGCGGGCCGTCAAGCTAATGCTCTTTATGCCCTCCCAAAGCACCCCCCCCCCCCAAGCCCGGTATCGGGCCGCGAAGCGGCACGTTACGCTGGAGATGTCCCTTTGCGGCAACTAATTTGCTCTGTTCAACTCCTATCCATCCGAAATTATGACCTTTGCTAAATGTCCCAGTAAGAAATGGCGCCAGCGGGCCGTCAAGCTAATGCTCTTTATGCCCTCCCAAAGCCCCCCCCCCCCCCAAGCCCGGTATCGGGCCGCGAAGCGGCACGTTACGCTGGAGATGTCCCTTTGCGGCAACTAATTTGCTCTGTTCAACTCATATCCATCCGAAATTATGACCTTTGCCAGCAAATGACCATAAATACTTACCCATTTAAGATGCGTGTTTATAAAAATCAGGTTTTCACAATGGACCTTGAAACATTGAGGGGGGCTACTGCTGTGCCACATGGGGAGGGGGGGCTAACTGCTGTGCAACATTGGGGGCTACTGGTATGCCACATTGGGGGAGGGGGGGCTACTACTGTCTGTGCCATGTTGGGGGGGGATAATGCTGTGCAACAATGGGGGCTACTGGTATGCCACATTGGGGGCTACTCATGTGCCACATTAGGGGTTGCTGCTGTGCAACATTGAGGGGCTACTGTTGTGTAACATTGGGGTCTACTACTGTTAGGCATTGGTGGCTACTCCTGTCCGACATTGGGGGCTACTGCTGTGACACATTGTGTGCTACTGCTCTAGTAATAAAGGGAATTGTTTCAAACTTTTTCATGCGAATAAATCAGGAATATGGTTTCATACTAGAAAGTATGCGAGAAGTTCTTCATGAATGATTTTCTGCATGGGGTCATATGAACTCATTTATTCCTGATTTATTAAATTGGCTCAGACTAAAACATGGCCATCATCATGTACCACAGTTAACAATGAAGAAAAAAAACCAACCTCTCTCCCCCCTTAGAGGGCAGGTCTCAGAGGTAGCCCTTTGGTCCCTGTCTCTAGCTAGAATTTGTGATGTAATGTTTAATTTAGGAGCCAGGTGTGCTCCCATGACCACTTTAATTATTGAACCGTTCCAAGGATCTATGTGGACCACAGCTCTGAGGAAACCATTGCAGGAAGTTCCCAATGAGGATCCCCATCCTGTCTGCATCAATCTACCATCAACATAGCATAACTACTTGCACCCTGGCTGGTGAAAAGGGAATTTTAATAAGTACCAGAATTAAGGACCATTTCTTCATGGTGTCCACACTTTAAAAGGAAGCTACCTCACTCCCTTTCCAGGCTTCAGTGTATGTGTGTGTGTGGGGGGGGTGAAGGGGGCTTGTGGTGGGGCAGGGGTTTTGATATAATTGGTAGACCATAAAGACCTCGGGCTCATGTCTCTGACTCCATCCACTAAGTAACATTTTTGTGTGGCACTGTTTATTTCTGAATTGTTTTTTTTCATAAATACCATTTAATAGACCCAAGGAAAGGTCATGATTTGAAGCCTCAAGTATAGTGATAAAAGTGTAACTGTTGCTTCATCATTCCATGGAGATGTGGAAATCAATTGTTGCCAAATGCACTTTAAGGTACAGGAGGAAACTAACACCAACAATTGCTACATTTTAAAAACTTTTAAAATATTGTTGCACTAGATAACCCCACGCCTCCCACCATCTCCAAGCCTCCCTTCACCCTTAAAGTCCTCACAAGAAGCCTGCCCTCAAACCAACCATCTCTCAAACTGTGTACCTCCAAAGTATACTGTTTACCTACCATCACCTACCATCCCCCACCTTACCCATCTGGCAAGTCTCTCTTTACCATCTATCCCTCCCATATAAACATAGCCATGCTCATTGCATATTATATATACTGTTTTACTATATAAGTACATTCAGTTAATGCCCCAGTACCAAATAAGGAGACAGAAAGAAACATTAACAAACTAAAACCAGTTTAAATGTGAGAAAAAAATGAAGAAAAAAATTATGTTTTTTTCCTTGTTAATTCAGTGTTGAATTATATTGACATTATTATTGAGTCAACTCGAATCAATGTGTAATATTTTTTCTATACAAAGTGGAGGAACAAAATAATTGTCTTAAGTTCTGGAATACATTATTTTTAGGTTCCACTTGGCATATAATATCAGTTGCAAGTCCTGTCAAAATCAAATTGGGTTAAAGTGTATTGATTGGTACGAACTAACCTAACTTGTTATCCACGCCCAGAGTAATTGGTTCCTGGCTGTTGATCCCCCATGTCCTACCATCTAAACCTATGCAACTAGCCAAGCAAACAAAACCCACATTAAGCTATGTGGCACCAAATCCCCTGCCATCCCAAGTATCAATGAATATTCTAATCTCTTCTCTCGGTACCCCTCCCTTACTGGTGTTACTCCCCCCACCCCTCCTTTTCCCGCCCCCCTTCTCACTTGCTCAAGCCCGAAACCTTTTTCCCCCGAGCTCCAAACAGGGACTGCTCTCCAATTTCTTGTTTCCCCAACTTGGCACCGGTTTAGCGAGCCATCGGTCACCCAGAGGGGGGAGAAGCGTGAGTCACACACCTAAACAAAAACATTCACTCTTTGGATGTGCATCCTGTCCCCCTTCTCTCTCTGGTGTTTTTTTTTTTTTTTTTTTTCAATGGCAAATTTTCCTCTGTTCTGAAATTTCAGCTCTTCCAAATTATTTTTTTTTTTTTTTTTTTTTTTCAATGGCAAATTGTCCTCTGTTCTGAAATGTCAGCTCGTCCAAATTATGCTCATCCTCCCCAGCGAGCCTGTTGGGTTCATCTCGAGTTTGTCAGCTTGGCTTTTTGGATAAGTACCGTCTATGCTTGTGAGATATACATTTGCTAAATGGCCACTGTAGAAGGGGGCGATGGGACATCTAAATTATTAAATGACACATATTATGTTGATAGTGATGTCTACATTTTTTTTATTAAACCCCTCTAAATTGTCATTGAAACGGAATAGATGGCACCGCCCATGTTAATGAGCACTGTATACGTTTTAATGATGATATTTTTTGACTGGTTAGACTGAGTTGTACAATCGGAACAAAATAGTAAACTAAATAAAAACAAACACGGAGAAATGGTTGTGATTGAATATTCATTAAAGAATAACTCATCTATATATTATTTGACGCCGCCGATCTTTAGTTTCCTGTGCTTACAATGTTTGAGGTCTACTTCATATCATAAGCTGGAGAGCTATCTTAGTATGAGGTTTGCTTCATATCATAAGCTGGAGTGCAATCTGAGTATGAGGTTTGCTTCATATCATAAGCTGGAGTGCTATCTGAGTATGAGGTTTGCTTCATATCATAAGCTGGAGTGCTAACGGAGACTGCACATCTTCAACCTTGTTTTATTACATCAAAAATGTGTAAATTTTGATTTGTTTCAATGCATTATTTGGCTATAGAATTGAAGAGTTTTACAACTTACAGGTTGCCTAAATTGATCCCCATTATCGAATGTTATTTGTAAAAAAAAAAAAGGTTTTGTCCTGTCCGTAATGTGCATTGAGCTGATGGGGGCTGGTCGGAGCTGTTGAACTGATTACAGGGGAGTTGCCAGCGAGCGTCATTATAAAACTGCTCTGAAGGGAGCCCATGAAAGCTTTGGCTGCTCACATGCATCCGGCATGCGGCGCACGGAGATGTAAAAAAGCCGACCCCGCAACGATGTCAAATGTTTCATTGATCGTGGCCGATAGAAACTGTTCATCGCCCCTCCTCCTAATTGGTTCACATCTTAGCTTGGCCAACCTTGTACTACCGGCCCCAGGGGCAGCTGAGTCAATGGGGGTAATCAATAATAAAATCAGTGGACATAAGATGATGCTTGAATGGAGAAGGAAATACAAAGCGGGTGGGGGGAGAAGGGCGGTGTTAGATTTATACTAGTTTGAAATGACCACCATAAAATATTGCATTACACTGACATTTTGGAGTCTTAGCGTTTTCTGCAGGGGCGCTTTAAAAAAACTGAATCGATTTATTTGGCCTCAACGCCAGCATTTTAAGCACTAGCTTAAACCATTCTTTGATTAACTTTGAATATCTCCCCTACATAAATGGACAACGTTCTTGTCACCAGGATGAGAACTTTTTTTTCTCTCTTTCTTTTAATCGTCACTTTACTCAACGTAAAAATGTCGGCTGACTTATTTGGGGTCCATTTATGTGGATTTTTGTTATCTGTTAATAAAAATAGACGGTCACTAATTAAAATGAAGTTGTTAGCCGAGTTTTCACCAACTTAGAATTTTGTCATTTACATATCCTGTCATGTACATATCCTGTCAGTTACATATGTAGGCATAGGTAAGTCTCAACAAATGCACCCGCCAACAATGAACTCGATGAAGACATTCACCGAGTGTGTGTGGTAGACAAAGTAACCATACAATTTGATGATATACGACCGCTCCCATCTTGAACACACTTCTTTCTATAGATGGCAATATTTCCTTTTCGAACTGATCTTATAGATTCGCGGATAGTGTTATTAAATATTCATATGAAACAGAAAAGATGACAACCAAACATAAGGGTGGAAAAGGGGGGGGGGAGGGGGGAGAAATAATCAATCACGCATAGTTTAGTTTATTTTTTAAAGAATATAATTTTATTCTTTAAAAAAAAATATATAACTTCTAATGCTGAGATTTGCCTATGGGTTGAGCTGTGCATGTTCCCACTGGACCAAGTGTGTGGCCAAGTTTGCAAATATTGTATGATGGATGTGAATGATAGCCAGAGATTGCAGCTGAAATCGGCTGGGTCTAACAGACCCGTCACACAAAGATGCTGGCATCAAAAGATGGGAGTGAAGGAGGGGGGAGGAGGTAGAGCCAATTCAAAAGAAAGATGGCCGAGGCAAAATTGGAATCACTTTTGCGTGGGAAAAATGGATTGGCGAGAGTGGTCGGAGATGAGGGGAAGCCAACAGTTGCATGTGATGGTATGAGCCAGGCAGTGTGTGGACGGACGGCTGGCTTGTACAGCGGTGTGACAGGAGAGTTGTTTCTTGTGGTCATCTGTTTATTCCTAATGACTTGCAATATGGATGGAAATGTACTTGATTGTCAAGATTTTATTACTGTGGGGATTTAATAATGTGTTCACATATTTGAAAATGAGATTACCGCTGTGAGACACCGGAAAAGTGATGTAAAGACACATGGGCTTGCTGGCTAGAGATCGATTTCCCTGTTACATGGGGGATATTAAGTCAGCACCTCAAATAGCCACAAGTTTCCTATGTTTTTTTATCTTCTATATAATCGGCAAACATGACTACTTTCTTGGGATATGTGTTACTTCTGTTAGAGCTGATTAAATTGGAATATGCACCCGTTGCTTAACATTATTCATCTGTGATATATTGCATGGATGGTCGCTGTTTTTTTTTACCATGTTCTTTTGAAGTACCGACCCATTCAGTCAGATATATTGACATATTTTTTTACACCCCCCTCCCCCCATTTCAAAAACGCCCCCGTAACTAGAAGGGAAATGCCCTTTTGCGTATTATCTAATGTGAAGTCCTGCCAGGTATTGTTAAACAAGCAAACGTTGAGATCTCTTATCGAACGTATCTCAACATCTTGATCTTTAATGTCTCGGCGAGGGCTTGAATACGAGGGAAGATGTTCTTGAGCAGATACAGCACTTAGGAAGTCGATGATCTGATTTTTATGACCTGAGTGCCCTAGCCCTGGAGTACTAGAGTTTCGAGATTGCTTTACTTGACTCTCTGCTGGAGACCCGGCACTCGCATTATCGATTTTTTTGGGTTTAAAGTTGAAAAAGAGAGAGCCACTTAAATACAGTAAAAGGTAGTTCAAACAAAGAAAAAAGAAGCGTAATCTGGAAACTCTCCATTTTCAAACAGGATTTTCAATATTTGGCGCTAGTACCCATTTGAACATCTGGTCTGTTAGAGCTCCGTCTGTTGGCCTGATGTGTCCTAATAACAAGCTTTAAGAAGTAACTAAAAAAAGAGAAACGTTTTAAATGTATGTTTGGAAGAATTGTTGCAGAGATAAAGTCTCCTCATATCGGCACTTCAAGTTGACTTCAAAATTTCTCTTCACCCTCACCCCTTTTTTTACACACACACACACACACACTAAATTAAAAACACTGGATATCAAACACGTTTCGAATTTGAACTAAATTTGATCAAATGAATAATTGTGATTAAACACATCAATAAAATACGCGAGAGGGAGGGGGGGGGGCGCGGCGACAAAACGCAAGCTGTGATCAGGTGCGTGATGTTTTAGTTTTAAAAATATAGCTTTAAATAATAGCCGTGACCCAATAATACTGAACTAATAATGGTACCAGACTTTGCTCGGGTAGAAATGAACCATGAATAAAACAGTTCTTGACAACTTATAATCAGCATATTTCTCTGGCCCAGTGGTTCTCAGCCATGGGGTTGCCTAAGACGATCAGAAAACACCCATTTGTGAAGTAGCAACGAAAAATAATTGTATGGTTGGGGGTCACCACAACACGAGTAATTATATTAAAGGGTCGCGGCATTAAGAAGGTTGAGAACCACTGCTCTAGCCGAACGTTTATCTTTCGAATGTGTCAATGTAAACGTACATAAAGATTTAAAAAAACAAAACGTTCTTATAAGACGTTCACAAAAGAAAGCAGCCACTTCTATGATTGTTCTAATTCAAGAAACTTGGTGTGGGACAATGACAATGTTTCCAGCTGAAAGCAGAGAATGGCTCTCGTGATTTGTTATAGCTAAACATTTCCTAAGTCCCGTGCCGCCCCCGCTAACAGATGCACGACTGGCAATGGCTTGTGTTTGTGTTAAGGAAGTCCGATATAGATTCATCTTTGTGTGTCAAGATCTCGTCATTGGAGGACACGGGATCTGGCCTAATTATTGATTTAATACCAGGCTCAGTTCGCTTCACGTGAGCTTCTCCAGGGCGTCTCATGATTCAACAGTTTGTCAGTTAGAAATACTACCATTCCCCCTTTACTATAATGCACATGGAGTCCGCGTGGATATCGGCAGCAGTGGAAGGCGTTTATGTCCTACTGTTGAGACTAGGGCGACCACGTGAGAATCATGTCACTTGTACACCTTTAATACTAGTAGTTTGAACTGCAGCTGGTTTGTACCATTACAACCTCAAACCATCGAAATCATCTCTGTTTGAGACGAGAAGAAAAAAAATAAGTGGGGGGAGGGGGATGTCAAAGTTTGAAAAAAATATTACCATAATAAAAAAAAAAAGAAGAAAAAAATAAAACAAAAGGCTGAATATTTGAGTAAGTTCATTGATTTGTGGGGTTTGTCTTCCTCACTCCAACGTTTAGCTTTGAAAATGGTCTCGTCATAGCATCCTTAAATGAAGTAACCTTAGTCATTTTAGTCATTTTTGTGTTCTTTTGAATTAAAGTTTTGTCCATCTCCTTAGCAAATAAAATGATTGTAACACATATCTAAATATAATTAGTGTTTCCAACAAAAACGCTGGAAGATCATTCCTAGAATGACTATGCAAAAGATTGAATTGTTGGCGTAACAAATCACGACAGCTACCAGCTGGACATACCTCGGCACGTTTGTCAACAAAGCCGTCAACAATTTGGGGGTCATTTACTTGCTGGTCAGCTCCGGTACTAGCCTTGCTGTTTGTTTAAACCAGTGTCAGTAGACCCCTGGCTATGTGGGTCTTTGTATCGGGGAATCCACGTTAAACTTTGCTCTTGTAAAATACACTCATGTGTGGTGTGTATTCGTGTGTGGTGTGTATTCGGCTCACGTAGCTATTTATTTAAGACAACTTGAAACACTAATTTTGTTTCATATCTTTTGATTAGTATCGATTTCATGCACTTAGTGAGTATATAGTACTATGACTGAAACACTGGATACTCTGTCCTAGACTGGTTCACGTGTCCGGATTCTAACAAATGGAGTGACAACAGAATCCACTATTGGCGTAGCAATCTAACAAACGCCCTATTTCTTTTGGATGTGTCTTGTAAAATTGTGAAACTTAATTGGAAAATAAAGTGTTCACTTGTTTTAATTGTGAGAATATTGAGGCGTGATATAAAGTCATGGAGTCAATTTCACTAATATAAGACAACAGTCGGTACATGCCTCGACCCCCTGAAGGCCTTCGACCACCAGAGAAAATGTTCTTTGCATCAGGTCAGCCCAACGATGGCCAGGAAGAGTTTGACGAAGCATCCTGGGAGAGCGCTCGCTCCAGTTGGATCTACATGGAGATGGAGCCCAGACAAAAAGCTTGCTGGTTTGACAAGGGCTTCTGCGTGTCGCCGGACGAGCAGCACAAGTTTAACCTCAGCGGGAACTCGGACGGCATGTCACTGGCGATGACGTCATTGGACACAACGGGAGTCTCCGAAGACGGTGACGTGAGTTTTGAATTTGTGGAGGGCGTGACGTCAGGGCGCCTGGATGAAGAGGAGGAGGATGGTGATTATGAGCAGATAAGTGACCAGCTTCAGGAACCGTGCTATGCAACGTGTGATATTCTTGTCAGCAACGACAACTTTATTCTCAAAAAGGAGCAAGGGAAGAATCCAATGAAATCAGACTCCAGCTCCAATATACATGGACATGCATCAGATACAAGTGGTGAGAAAACGTCTGCCGCACGACGGTCGGTGTCACTGGACAGTTATCCTTTACCCAAAAATCCACTCCAGTTACTAAAACAGTCGGAGACATTTCACTTTCCCCACATGGCTAAAGCTAGATTACGAGCATTACCTCCTGTGCCCCACAACTCTAGGAAGTATCCCGATAGTCCCCTCGCGTCGTCTGCGTCGTCTCCGTCACAAACTAACATCGCCAACCAGCCATCTTCGTCGTCAAAAAGTCCGTTGTTGCTTCGTGTCGAAGCAGATGCCGACAGAGATTCCATATTTTCTCTATCAACAATGGCGACGGTTTCCACTGCGACCAGCTGTGGAAGCCTGTATCGTATACCCGCTAAAGTGCGCAAGCTCTCCACGTCATCTACCTCAGCTAAATCTACCTGGTCAGCCATCACAAGTAAAAGTATTGCCAGACACCTTGGTCATATTTCGTCAGACCCTATACGGATTACCACCCATCAGGCCCCGGTGTCGCTTCTCCCCAAATTGCTGAGGGATGTTTTTGCTTACCTCTGGTGTGAGAACCCCGATCGTGACCCTTTTAATACATTTTCTGTGTCTGAGACAGATCTTACCTCAGCCATAGCACATCTCGAGCACCAACTCAGCACGAGGGTCCGCAGTCAGGGGGAGAAAAGTCGAGCCAGTTTGTTTTCAAATTTGATCAACCCCAGCCCGACCCAGCCTACCGCCACCTCCACCCCAAGCTCGCCCACGTCCGAGAGCCCTGCCTGTCTAGACCTGGGCAATGAAGATGAAACCAGTTCTGGTCCCATGAGTCAGCTCCCATTTAGGGTCCAGTTTATTATGGAGAGCTATTGTAACATTTACATGATGAGGTACGTTTTATAGTTGGTCGATATTTCTCATTCCTTTCCCCACTCACACACATCATATTATGACATGGCATTGGGGAATGAAGATGCTTTTTACAAGGCAGCGTGATGCTCAATGATATTTATTTATTATGAGGAACAAAGTGAAGTTATTGACACTTAATTGTCCATTTGGTAATGGGTTAGATTATCTGACAAGAAGCGCTGCCGAGAAAGGAACACTTTTACGAATCCAACTTGGATTCTTCAGTATAAAGAGAGTAAAACAGAGTAGGGTTCAACCTGAAAAAGAGTAAAACAGAGTAGGGTTAAACCTGAAAAAGAGTAAAACATAGGGTTAAACCTGAAAAAGAGTAAAACATAGTAGGGTTAAACCTGAAAAAGAGTAAAACATCGTAGGGTTAAACCTGAAAAAGAGTAAAACAAAGTAGGGTTAAACCTGAAAAAGAGTAAAACATAGTAGGGTTAAACCTGAAAAAGAGTAAAACAGAGTAGGGTTAAACCTGAAAAAGAGTAAAACAGAGTAGGGTTAAACCTGAAAAAGAGTAAAACATAGTAGGGTTAAACCTGAAAAAGAGTAAAACATAGTAGGGTTAAACCCGAAAAAGAGTAAAACAGTAGGGTTAAACCTGAAAAAGAGTAAAACAGAGTAGGGTTAAACCTGAAAAAGAGTCAAACATAGTAGGGTTAAACCTGAAAAAGAGTAAAACATAGTAGGGTTAAACCTGAAAAAGAGTAAAACATAGTAGGGTTAAACCTGAAAAAGAGTAAAACAGAGTAGGGTTAAACCTGAAAAAGAGTAAAACAGAGTAGGGTTAAACCTGAAAAAGAGTAAAACAGAGTAGGGTTAAACCTGAAAAAGAGTAAAACAGAGTAGGGTTAAACCTGAAAAAGAGTAAAACAAGTAGGGTTAAACCTGAAAAAGAGTAAAACAGAGTAGGGTTAAACCTGAAAAAGAGTAAAACAGAGTAGGGTTAAACCTGAAAAAGAGTAAAACAGAGTAGGGTTAAACCTGAAAAAGAGTAAAACATAGGGTTAAACCTGAAAAAGAGTAAAACATAGTAGGGTTAAACCTGAAAAAGAGTAAAACAAAGTAGGGTTAAACCTGAAAAAGAGTAAAACAAAGTAGGGTTAAACCTGAAAAAGAGTAAAACAGAGTAGGGTTAAACCTGAAAAAGAGTAAAACAGAGTAGGGTTAAACCTGAAAAAGAGTAAAACATAGTAGGGTTAAACCTGAAAAAGAGTAAAACATAGTAGGGTTAAACCTGAAAAAGAGTAAAACATCGTAGGGTTAAACCTGAAAAAGAGTAAAACAAAGTAGGGTTAAACCTGAAAAAGAGTAAAACATAGTAGGGTTAAACCTGAAAAAGAGTAAAACAGAGTAGGGTTAAACCTGAAAAAGAGTAAAACAGAGTAGGGTTAAACCTGAAAAAGAGTAAAACATAGTAGGGTTAAACCTGAAAAAGAGTAAAACATAGTAGGGTTAAACCTGAAAAAAATAACGCAACAAAACTAATTTTATATTGTGCTAACCTGATTGCAGTCTCTCCCCTCATTACCCTTGGATTCTTCAGCTCACACCTTTGATGTACAGTAGTAAATAGTTGGGGATAGAAATGGCAGATTATTATCGCAAATCAGAAATAATGACCACTTGACCAGACTTCTACACCCTCTGTCTGCACCTACTCAAACGAATATTTGTGGCGTTTGACTAAATTATACCACCGTGAGATGATAAACGAGCATGTCCTGGGCATGTCCATTTTTTAGCCCCTTGTATCCCAACAATGAAAATATAAAATTCGATGTTCTGCGTGGTTTCAATATCAATGCCTGGTATTTATCATGGTGTGGAAGAGAGCATATCTGAAGTGTTCGTGTCAGTCTGTGTGTTCTAAACAGCTCGTTGAAACGGCAGTCCTCGTTTTGAAATTTAAATGTATACATCCACGTGCTGGAGGAAAATTTGCACAAAGCAATCAACACACAATTGCACCTATTTGGATCAATCTTATCTCATACGACCTCACAAGCCTTACATCTTTCAATATGCTACTGAAACGTAAGCGTGCTTTGAAGGTCTTATGTTAATTATGGCGATGGTTTTCCCACTTATATTTTACAGTTTTTCTCGCGTAACTTGGCCATTGGGTTAAGGGACTACATGAAGATCATGGTTTGGATTTACTCATACCAAGCTGTTTCTTTTCTACATTGTACTGTATACAGCCTTTTAGCCAGGGGTGCAAAAAAGGGAGGGGGCCGCTCCCGCTTAGACCTTTTTTTTTCAAAATCATTAAAAAAAAATATATATAAAAAAAAGATCCCTGTATTTTGTAATGGTCAAGCCTAAGTCAAAACTGATTACGTCAAACCTGAGTATGTTCAAAACTGACTAGGTCCAAAATGACTACGTCAGACCTGACTACTTCACAACTGAATACGTCAAACTTGAGTATGTAAAAAAAAACAACTGACTAGGTCCAAAATGACTACGTCAAACCTGACTACGTCAAAAACTGACTAAGCCACTGACTATAAACTGTCAATGAACCAAGACTGAGAAAACGTCTATCCTCTCGCCACTTTCATGTCATAAGTCTGTCTCGGCCTCCTTCCTGTCGATTCAGTTACGCGGTGTTCTTTTTCAGTTCACTGTCCAGAGTTATTTGTAGCCTACCGGTACTTGCCAATAATGCGTGAATTAAAACACAACAACCCAGTTCTGCTTGTCCTTTGGGCTCAATAATATACCTGGCCGATTGGCAATCAAGCCACAACTTGTATCATGATGTCTGAAAAATCAAATCAAAACTAAAGCTGAATTTCATATGGTGTGCAAGTTGATATGGTGTGGGTAAAAAGGGGGTGGCATAAAAAGAGATGCGGCGTGCTTATGTGATGCTTTTTGGCCACAAGCCCATAACGAGATTGACAGGGGACTATTAAATTATAAATTGCCACCACCGGTCGCGGCCATGGCTTGTAAAACTTTGCCAAACCAGGTTCTAGCAGTAAACTCCATTTTCTGTCAACAGGACAAAGGACGCTCATCTCACAAAGTGACGCTATTGGGACGGCCGAATCAATACACCGTTCATTTTTCAAGCAAACAAATCTTAGGGTCAACTCACCGGACGATTGGGGGAAAAAAAAGGGGGGGGAGGGGGGTCATTGTATTCACAGTTTCATAACAAGATGTTTCTCCCGTCATGATTGACCAAATCGCCATTCAATAGCGCTGTTTGTCAACCAACTTAAAGAAAGGAATTGTCGCAGAGTTGTTATTAAATAAACGCCAAGCTTCCTATGCTAGATTTTTACCAGCGGTTTAAATCACCGATTCAACTAGAAATGTTCAATTAATTTTAAAATGAATCATATAAGTACGGTTTACTCAAATTTATTGGAAAACTTTCTGTGTACTGAGGTTGTAGTTGGCCCTGTTGTACTTTAAGGTTGTGGACGGCTATTTATATATGTATATAATGTAAAGAGGAACGGTGATTTGGTCGTTTTCATCAATTCTCGTTAGTAATTTAGTTCTTCCTAGGGGCTATCCAACTCACCAAAATCCTTTGGGTAAAACTAGGCACAAAACTCTAATGTAGTCTATTGGAGTTGATTAGATGGCATCTTTTCAACGAATAAAACGGTCGTAAATCCATCTTTTTAGTTGGTGAAAAGCGAGGCGAAGGGGTTTGGTGGTGGTAGTGTATGTTTTCCGTGGTAATCCTTGCTTTGGCATTGTGTACACGTCCACTTCTGGCCAAATGAAGTGCTATATTTGTCTTCACTAGTAAGGCCTTTTGTTGACGTCTGGCTATCAGAAGAATCTGGCCAACCAAGCCGTTGCCTGTCGGCACCCATTCTTTACATTTCTATGTCCTAGTTTGTTGTTGTTGCTTTCGTTTCGTTTTTTTTTTTTTTTTTTTTTTTTTTTTTTTTTTTTTTTTTTTTTTTTTAAAATTTTTTTTTTTTTTTTTTTTTTTTTTTTTTTTTTTTTTTTTTTTTTTTTTTTTTTTTTTTTTTTTTTTTTTTTTTTTTTTTTTTTTTTGAGCTTTGAAGAAATTTTGTTTAATTGCTTTTAAATGTAAACAGTGAAAGTCATCTGTCGTAGTCACATAAACTGCACATATTTGTTAGTTATGTGTAAAACTATAATAAATGTATATAAAACGTACGTACAAAATCGTAGTACTGTAGTTCAATAATCTCTTAGCTTTTGCAAGAGCTGGTTATTTTTAAACAAGTTCAGTTGTTTAAAAAAAAAAGAATCTTAGTACAAAACCGACTAGTAGTGAAAACTGCTTTTTAGTGAGCAACACAAAGCCACATTTGATTAAAAGTTTGAATATACACACATGTTCTTCCCTGTTGCCCATGATAGCACTAACATCTCTCTCACCTTACATGAGATCATTGTCCTGCTCTCTCATACTGAAAAAGTGTTTCCTTTGACATTTTTTTCTAATGACATAATTACTACAGCCCTACAGACTACAGCAGCAATTCTTTGTGGTCATGTTGCCATTAATGGAAAACAATAAGTATTAATATACCACACAATTTCTTTACAAATAGCTTAAAGGAAAGTAAATGTTGGCATGATATATGGATAAACTGAAAAGATAAAATCTTTTCTCAGAGTTTATTTATCTATTTACCTTCTCCTTGTTTTTTTTTTTTAAAAATTTATCCCATAATTCTTTTAGGAGCTGTAAATTATTTGCTAAGAATTTAGTTATTTTGGTGAAGAGGCTCATTTTTAATCTCATGCACTATTGGCTGCTGTCTTCCATCTTCCATGGTTGAGTTGTTTTATTCACGGTCTTCCTCCTCCCAACTTCCTTGCTGAGCTCACATCATTTCCACTTGCTTGGCCTTCCCCCCCCCCCCCCCCCCCCCCCGTAGCTGGGATAAACCCAGACCCACTATTACTTGGTTGTGAGGCAGGCAATATTACCATTTATATCTATTTAAAGTAAGTTGGCATATTTGTGACATGGAGTGAAAGAGACAGATCAAATAGCACCAACACAATGGATCAGAACACTTAATCCTGACAGTCTTCGCTAATCAAATGTGATACTTGAGCAGAAACATGTGGTTAAACACAAGGGATTTAAATTTGTGTACTTATCTGACTGTTTCATAATTTAATTCTTTTCTCTACAGGAAACAAGATTTACGTGAGCTGAAGTTGCTTCAAAAGCAGGAAAACAAGCAGATAACTGATCTGTCCTACAAAAATCATTTAGCACTAGAGGCTAAAGAGAAGAAGTTTGATACAGACAGTAATGTAAGTTTCTTGTGTTCTATCAGGTGACCCTGCTAGAGGTGGCATATTTGCTTGAGAAGGAAATGCAGGATTCTTCTCCCATTTTTCAGGTTTAGTCTTGGTTCCATATTGAACATACTGTGCACATGTGTCCTGGTTCTGCTATGTAAACTGGAGATTTATGTTTTATGTCCTCACTGGTCCCAAGTTGGGTGTAGTTTGAATGGGTCTCCCATTTGTTGATTTACAAACTTTTGCCTTTATGGTATATGCTTGGTACAGGGGTAAAAATGTTGTATGTTTCTGAATGTATACATCCTTAAAGGTCAAAATTTAAAAAAAAATAGAATCCTCGGTCTTACATTGGTTTGCTAGTATATAAAAAATGATATGAACTTAGCGTGAAACACTTTTGAAACAAAAAGAATGTGAGTGTCGTTTAAGTCTTGCTATGTAAACCCTGTTTAGGCTGCCAAGAAAAGCTTTGACCAGGATCTGGATATGTTGATAAAACAACAGAAACAGTTGATAGAGAAGGCAGAGCAGGCTCAACAGAATGACATGAAGAATGCTGCCAAGAAAATCAAAGGAGAGCAGGTGCGTTTTATTGAATCGAAAGCTACCCTCATTTAACTTTAAGTATAAGTCTTGTTACAATAAGACCGATTAGCATCTACAGAACTGAAATAAAATTGAGTTAAGATCGTGTGGAACAAATTTCTATTGTTTAATGACACCAGAGGCTGGGGTGCCATCAACAAAATCTCAACAAGGTGGTCACATGTCTTTTCAGGAGAAGGAGCTGAAGATATTTAGAGAGAAACAGAAACAGGAGATGAAACTACTTAAACAGGAGCTGGATATGTTGCCCAGAGACAGTAAGAAGGAAACAGCTCAGAAGATGAGAGAGGCCAAGCAAATTGAGATGGAGGAAAAGGTAAGAGGCGTTCATTGGATCCCATGCATTTAACAGAAGGGGGCAGATGGGACAACTGAGGAGGAAGTGGAGGAGACCACAGAGATAAAGATTAGATCCAGACTTTTTTTTTTAGTGTTATGCTGTTAATGAACCACTTTGTGGTCTCAAATACTAACATCATTTGGTTAAGATGCTAATAGAAAATGTCTTGGAGTATAAACAATTTGTTTTCAAAGTCACACGTTTTTAATTATTATTATAATATATTTATATACCAGACCTGTTTACACTCAAACTCTTAATATCATCACAAAATCGTTTGATACATTATCTTAATAGTAAAAAAATAAACACAGTATATTTAATGTATACACCACAAAATCGTACATTGTATGCCAAAATCGTGATAGTAAACAGGTCTGATTTATACATTTTTGTGTCTTATGAACTTGAAGCTGTATAACGGTCCAGCCCTTTTTTTTTACCATATAATAGTGGACACTATTAAACATAATTTTATTTTAGAATAGAGGTGAATTTCAGAATCAAAATCATGTCATGAAAACTTAGAAATTGCTGTAGTGGATGATGTGTTGTTAATTCTCTATATACCCAATTACATCTAGTATATCTACTAATGATTCCCATCAAAATGTCTCATTTTTCAAGTAATCTGAATGATACCACTGTTCAATTTTAAATACATGAACATTAATGTAAATGATGTCCTCTTCTTAGGAGAGACTTTTTATGGAGAACCAGGCTGAAAGATTAGAAAAGCACATGAGACAGTTGGCCGACCAGCATAGACAGAAGATTGCCCTATTAGAGAGTCAGTGTCTGCAACAGAAACAACAGTTATACAGGGGTAAGCTTTATCCAGACATTTCATACTGGTGACAGGTTTTTATTTGTTACAGAAGTTATCTGATGTGATATTGATCTAGTGATGGGTTATTTATTCTTAATGCTATGCCCATGTCCCTGAGCTCCTCTGGTCAATGCTGAACGAACGGTTGGATTCTGAAACGAGATTGGGTCAGTTTTTTAATGTTCATTTTTAATGGGTAACTTTTAATTTTTATGTTGGTAATTTTATCCACTGTCCATTCAGGTCGTGAAGCCAGTAACTGGGAGCTGGAAAAGAGTCAGCTTCATGAAAGACACCAGTTGATGAAGACACAACTCAAGGACATGTTCTTTGTCAAACGTCACCAGATGCTGACAAGACACCAGAAGGTATGTGATGAGCTGGTTGGGGTGAAGGTGTCCTATCTTGGATCTAATGGAATTGAATGTCAATGAAATAATTAAAACATTCATACTCACAATCAGTGGAAACATCTTCATTGCGCCTAAAATACAACCACAGTCTCTTTCTCTTATCAAATTTTACAATAACTTTTTCAAAGGAAATGGAAAACTTGAAGCGCTACAATCAGACAAAGGAAGATGAGATGATGAACAGACATGCCCTCGAGAGACGAAGGCTGCCCAAGATTCTCAAGAATGAAGCCAAGACCAGAGCTCAGATGTTCAAACAAAGCCTGCGGCTCAGTACCATTGGCACTCCCGAAGATGACAAAACAAAAATCAAACAGGTGAGAAGTCTATTTAAATTTGTGGGGCATTCCCGGTAGCACTGAAATCTTTTTATTGAAAGATTTCAGATGAAAACTGAGGAATGTCACTTAATATAAAAAAATAAAAACAATTAATTGTAAAATAGATTAAGATTATGATATTATGATCAAATTTCCCAATAAAGAATTTATTAGTCAAACTGACTTATTAGCATGGCACAGGCAGTCATGAGCTACAAGTGAGGGATATAGACACTATTTTGACATGTAGTAAGCCACCTTAGTGCTGCACAATTTTTTTTAAATTTGTATTAGAGCATGAATTCCAGGCAAATAGTTCATTAGATTTTTAAAACTTCTGAACAAAGAAGGATTTTTGAAGTTATGAGATTTAATTTATTTTTCATGTATAAATGGCAGGGAAAGTTTTTCAAGGAGATTATTTAAGAAACAAATAATATGAAAAACAGGTGTTAAAAATGAACAGAAGGATTCACATATAATTTGGTCCCATAGAAATCTATCAGGGTGAGGGTATTTAAGGGAATAGCAACATGAACATATTTTGTCCAAATGCCATATGTGAGTGAATTGGATTAAATAAACCCTTGCAACAAAGTCTTTTGTATAAATCATTTATATGTATTTTTTATTATTTTATTTTATATTAGTATTCTAATGATCCACCGGCTTTTACACAGCAGATCATTTCAGCTTTTCAGAAAAACAAAAGAAGATCTTACACACCAAATGCACTTGAGATATTTTTTTTAAAGAATCTCATTTAGAGCAGTTTTCAGGAAATTTATTTTGTGAAATCAATTTCATCATATTTCCTTCATCTTCCATTTGAAAAACAGGAAAAATGATTTTTGGGGGTTTGGGCTGAAAGTTTAATATTATGTATCATCATCGGCAACCAGTCCATGTGCCAAGTTTCAGCTTGATAGTTTGACTGGAACTGGGTCAATTAACCAACCATCTGAAGATTTTGCCAGCCAGAAAGGTATAAACAAAATCAAAGTTAATGCTAATATAAAGGATTTAATAAATGAAACAATTTCAGTTTGAGGAGAGTGAAAAGAAACGCATGAAGTCTGAGCAACAAAGACAAGAAGAGAAACATAAGAGACAGCTGAAAGCTTTACAAGACAAAAATGATGCAGCTGTTAAAGAACTGGAACAGTTACAGGTACGGTGCAGTTAAAACTTTATGGCATTTAAATTACACTCAGTATTTATCATAGTTAAATGACACCATCAAAACATTTAGATTTAACCTTGGTTAATAATCAGTTTTTAACGATTTAATGAATGAACAAAAAAGTTGTATGTCGAGTATGAGCGTTCATTAGTAATTGTTGCGACTCAATATTATGTTCATTAGTTGTTGAACGCTTTTCCCGCGCTTGACTATTATAGTTAGTGAACGCTCTTCCCGCCATTGTCTTTATGACGTATTTTTGTGCTGATTCGTGACGTATTGTCTACGCAGTGTTGTGACGTATGTTTTAGTCGTGCGGCAGTCTTGAGTGGAACTTTGGAGTGATAGGGTGTGTGTTATTTGGGTCTGATGGCGAGCTGCGATATATTCAAGTGTACGTGTATTATATTTACATAGATATTAAAGTTATAGTTATTATCAAAAGGAGTTGAGTTGGTTCAATGATAGTGAGAATAGTACGACGCTTCAACGTGTGAAAGAACTGACGAATGTAATCAATCCAAGAAGACGTTAGGAGTTGACATTGTAATTTTATGCAATGGCTGCATTGCTCTTGATGGTGCATCATTAACTATATCTTTTTCACTGAGCACTTTGAGTTTTTTAAATATATTGGAGCTGATGTCAGCTCTCCTGTTTTTTCTTCTCATTGTGTGATTTTTACCATTTAAAATTATGTGTTAAAATCTGTTCTTTTAAGGCTGAGAAACGCAAAATGCTGATGGAGCAAGAAACTCAAAAAATCAAAGAGCTTGATGATCAGTTCACACTAGACATGAACCAGTGGAAAGCTTTGCTCATACCCCGTAAACAGGTAAACAACCATCTTTTAAGACAGAGTTTAATGCCTTTTATAAATTATACAGCAATAAAGCATTTTTAAAAATTTACCTTAAGTATATTTAAAATTTTTAAAATTTAAAATTCAAAATTTTAAATACATTTGTTTAGACACTGGAGGAGCAATTTCAGAGAGAAATTGAAGAGCAGCAATCATTCTATGCTGATGTGGCTGGAGAAGGGAGCATACCAGCTTTGCCTAACATTCGTTCCAATCCCTCAACGATCCGAAGTAAAGGTAGAGACGGTTCAGGCTATTCTCGCCACTCCACTGTTATTTAACATCACTCAATCAAAAATCTTTGATCAAACACGATGGACTGGCCGACAGATGGACTGGCCGACAGTTAAATGTTCAATGTCCTCAAACTCTTGCACAAACACCTCACCATGCATACATGTAGGATAAGAGTACAGCACCTTCTCCCCAATTACAGGACTGGAGTATGTACCAATATGGACACTCATTTCTAGTTATAATCTTTTTAATTGTCAGTGCTTTTGCTACAATAATGCAGCTGAAACATTGTCAACCATGGTTTTTAGTACATCTTTGAAGAACGCATGATGCAAAAATTGTGTTTTTTCACTTGATTATATGTCAGTGATTTTTTTAAAGTTTAGCGTACCCAACTTCTATTAAATGAGCAGCATGTTTTCTGTTGTCTTGAATTCATATGGAGTTAACACAACATTTGAAGGTAAGATCTACTGATCGGTGCACATAAGGATTACCAAAAAGTTTATTCAAAGCTCCAAGGAACGTTAGAAAGTATTTTTTATTTTAATGAATGTGGCCCCAAACCATAAATCTGTTTACAGGAATTTTACATCTTAAAATATTTTGACATCACAATTTATAAATCAATTAAATTTTTTCAGCCAGGGTTGCATATATGTTTTAAAGACATTTTTTATAATCCTTCAACTCAGGCCTGCACAACTCAAAATGTAAGGCTTAATGAAAAATTTGTGTGGGCTGAAAGAAAAAGGGACGGGGGAAATCTATTAAGAAAATAATAATAAAACAGAATATTTCTTTACTTCTTGGGCCGCAAAGTGGGTGTTGGCTCGCCGTATGTTGTGCAGGCCTGCTTTACCTCAAAGAAATTTTCTCATTTCTATTTAGACCTTTACAATTTTTGCATTTTATGAGCTGCTTACTCTAAAAGGGCGGTTGAGTAATTGGTTTATGATTTCTATCATGTCCAATTTTACAAGAAGCCTAGGGAAATATTTTGATTCATTTGTTTCAATTAATTCTCATGTAGAGATAAGATTTAATGCCATAGGCTGTAAAACTCTTGCATGATAATTGCTTAAAGCATTTGGTGAAATATCGACATTAGAAAGAGATTTTTTGTTCTTTTTCTACAGACAACTTTGATATAACAACAAAATAATCCAAACATCATGCATACAGTTTATATGTCACTGTAAATTGTCATGTAATACTGGTGATGGCAGTCTAGAGTATTTTTTCATAATGACTCATTCATTTGCACATGACTGATATAAATAACTGTATTGTTATTTACATTAAAAAACTTATGGTGTACAAAGTTACTATTTATGCCCACTTATAAAACCCATATTCATAATGTAGACTTTATTCAAATGGAAGTTGTAATGTTTTGTTAAAGGCATATATTATGGTCTCATACACTCTGGAGTCACTTGAGTTGCATGAAAGGGTGTATTTTTTTAATGTTACTTTTTAAAATGTTCATTTGATATATCTGATTGTATTGTAAAGTAAATGTGTGCATAGGCCAACATATACAAATCATGCTATGATTGGCTTGGTGTTTTTTTAACAGCCTAGTTTTTAATAATTCTGTGGTAATGTGGTTGTCATAATTTCATTTATATAAATATATATATATATAAATATAATATTTCACAGCAAAATGCATTTTCAGATACATTTCATTTTAAATAGTCTTTCATTTGATAACATTTGTAGACTTAATTTGTATTGTCCTATACAGAACCGTTAGCTGTGTAAGCATCGTTTTGTTTGTTTCCCTTAATGGCCACTTTTGGGTTTTCACAATGTTTTTGTAGGATTTATTCAATTGTTATTATAAAACAAATCAAGCATTCATAAAAAGACTTGTTTTTTCTAAAACCTTGCTTCGAAAAGAATTAATTTCTATAACCTTTAGGAAAAGCGGAAACAAAATTAATTGATTTGACAAAGTGTACCAAAAAAAAAAGATAATTATTTGGTAAATAAAATGCTGTGATAAAATTTTTTTAAAAATTGGTTTAGATAAAAAAAATTAAGTGCACAAGCATGATTTAGTAATTTCTTTAGCATATCATAGTTCTATATTGTTTACATAATTTGTGAAAGTAATTGAAATACTGGCATAATGTTTAGTTTTCTATTTGTACATATGCTTGATAAGACCGCAGGAATATTTCCATCTAGAAAATGCATCCATATTAACAGCAAACCCAAGCTTTGTAAATAGCCAATATCCTAACAAATCTGCATACACTTTCTTTTCTTTCCATAATGATTGATTTTGTCATACTTTTTTTATTAGTTCTTTTATTTGTAGGCTTTTGGACTTAACTCTTTTGTTCTCAAATGCTACTTAGAGTTCATATACAGTACATATTTTTAATGTACAATTGTATTACCATATAGTTTTTAGAAAAATTAGCTTATAGGAACTGTTGTTTAAGTTTTTGTCTTATTTTGATGATGTTTCATTAAAGTTTTTTCATTTTCACTATCTAATGCATTTGATTGGAAGCACTGTTTGCTTTGCAAGCATTGTCACAAAAAATCTCCAGGAATCAAAGAAAATATTGAACAATTTTTTTTAAAATTTATTTGTTTAATTATTTTTTTTTGTTGGTTTGTGAGTAGTGAGAAATCTATTTCAGAATACCCAATAGTATTTGAGTTTACAGTAATATTAATTGCAATAATCTTTAGCATTTCTCTAATTTCTAGTGGCTTTTTTCCAGTTCAATTTTAGATTTTCTGCTCTTGCCAGATAGTATGTGAATAGAAACATAGCCATAGTACAAAGCTTTTTGATACAGTGTCACCAATAAAAACTATATTGACATCCACACCTTTAGAACACATAAAAACCCAAGCAGTGGTGTTACAAACCATCAATTAAGTGTACCACTGAGTTAACCAGTTACGTACAATAGGCAAACTCAATATTATGTTGAATATCCAGTTATAAAAAAATTAATTTCAAAATAACCGAAACTTTATATTAGGATGAAAAAATAAAAAAGACTTTAAAAAAAAATAAAACATTTGAAATAAGAGAAATCTAATATAGTCCATGTTATTAACAAACAGTGAGAGAGACAATTCATTCTGTATTGAAATAATCATGTAACTTGGTTTAATTTTTTTTAAACATATTTTTTAATTTACTATCTATTAAAAAAGTATTTTCTGTGGTGTAACCTATGTACATAAAAGAATGGATTTATAATAAATGATATTACCAGTGATGGCAACGGTCATAAAACATTCCTATACTGGCTGGAACTGGTGCACACACAGGGCTGTTTCATTGTTAATATTGAATTACTGTAGGACTTCACTAACAGGGTATAGACTAAAATTTAACTGCTGCACTCTCTAATAAGTCTGGAATCGCCCTCATGTTGTGATAGTCATACAAGCTATATAAAAGCTTCTTGAGAGGGTATCACAAATGAAAAATGGGAGGTCTCTTCACTTCAAATAGACAGCGTTGCTTACTTGTTGACAAAATATCTTACTTTGATGCTTCTCTGTTTACCACAAAAAGGCTTGTGAAAATAGTTTAAAACTAATCAGCTTATAGATATTAAAAAGGGGAGATAAGAAAGCAATACTTCAAACTCAGATTTTAAAAAAAATTAAATAAATTTTGAAATCTCTGATAAATGAAAACTTGTTAATATATTTAACTTTACTGTGGCTTCCATGTTTACACGGTTACTTAATGGAAATGTCTGGAGTGTAGGATTCAATTCTATTTTATACATGTTGCACTCTGTTCGTTCACTTTTAATTAATAATATTTTATGACTTGTATTTATTTGTTAAATATACATAAATATTTTTTCCCAGAACATTAATTTTCTGGTTTAGTTTTCAGAAAGGGTTAAATAAATTAGTATTATTTTTACACTTCGATGGTCTTATCAAAATATTTCTCTAAAAGTTTTTAATTAAAAATGTTTGTTGGATTCCTAGCAAGTTGAACTTTGAACTTTCTATTTTAAAATCATAAACAAATGGCAAAAATTTATAATAGTATTGATCGATAAATATTTCTTTTGTTTCTCTCATAATAAATGATGTTTATTATAAAAGAAAAATTTAGCAAAGGCAATAATAATTGTAATAAAATTTGATTTTTTTTTTTATGTGCACTGGGATAGAAAGATAAATGTAACCATTACAAATAAATTGAGATTGTTTATTTGTAAAAAAAAAAGTAGAATAAAAGGCTTGTTGTATTTTTAAATTTTTGGACATATTTTTCAGTGCATTTGAATTTCACTGTAAATATGAGACATAAAATTGTATCTTTAAAAAATGAACTTTTTCAAGAAGTGATCAGAAACTAGTACAATATACTTTTTAAAAAAGCATTGTCTTTGTGCTAACTCTTTAATAGATTCGTTTGTTGAAATATTTAAAGCAGGAAAACCTTCAGTAATTAACACTATGCACCGAGCCACAGAGTTCAAAGTTCATTGTGCAAGTCTGAAGAAATTCAGTTAATTATGAAATTTGATGTTGATAACCCAATATATTTTTCAGTTAATCAAGAATTAATGCTTTAATTGTTTTACTATTTTTATCTGTTTGTATTCAGTAGACTATATATAGATGGCTTTCAAATCGAATGTATAAAATAATCTCTTCCCATTTTGTCTCTTAAATACAATATGACCATTTCACTCTGAGCATGAAGTGAACTTTTAAACTGAACACAAATGAACCTTTTCCTAACATTTTCTATCCATGTATGCCATAGACACACATGTGTGTTGTATAAATTGATTCTGATAGTAAGTGTTGGCAAAACTAACAGCTGTATCAAGCTGATTATGGCTGTTGCCAATGGTTACTGGTCTTTAAAAAAAAAAATAATTTAAGACAGTGTTCAATATTTTGTTGGTTTAATCTTTTTTTTTTTCTTTTTTAAATTGACAATGCATAGACTTGTGAAATCAAAAGGAACAGCCCTGCATGCTGTAGTTCCCTTATCTAGAGGAAGCCACACAAGCCCATTTCAGCATCACCTATCAAGAGGCTGGAAATGTAATGGCTGATGGGATACTGGGCCACAATTCATGCTTGTTCTGTTCCAAGTATTGCCTTGATTCTGTGTCATTGTTCATAGGTTTATTGATGATATTTTTTCCAATATGTGCTATATTATCAAAACTGTTCTTGTACCTGGATCAGTAAAACTATATTTATTTTGACAACTCTTGACTTCATTTTTAACTGCGTTGTCATTCAGTGGATATTTATTTAACTATTTTTTACTGGATTAAAAAAAGGTGAAATTGTTTAATCCAAAGTCTGTTGACATGGAGCTTAATAAAATATTTCAATAATAAAATTAACTGATGAAATAAAGTAAATTGCTTCTAAATTAAACCAATGTGGTGGGCAGTGTTTTTTTCTTACCCCCACCCCCATCCCGAGCCCCTTACCTGCCTGCGGGAGAAAAATTTTTAAAGCAAATGTAAGTTTTAAAAACAATAACAACATTGTCATTTTAAAAAAAAATTGAAAAGACTCGTTAATGGTAGATTAAACCTAATAAGATGAGGGAAATAGTGGAACCAATGAAATATCCTTAAATACCATAAATTTGTTGTTAACACATTATGGTATTTTCATTTTTGTTGCAACATACCGAGTTTTAAGACTTAGACTGGGGAAAAATGTGGCCTATGCTTGAAACAATACAAAATTAAACGAACTGTCTATCGCTATAAAGGTCTATGTTTTGAGTTATTTCTTACTGTCAAACATCCGCAATATGTTTTCTATTTCTTTACTATATAAGATCAACTTTGAAAACCCGGATCATATTTTCTAAATGAAACAATGAATAAGCCATAAGCCAAACTCCATGGCCGTCTTACAATCAAAGGGGGCCCTGGGCACAGCAATGCATTTGGGCCCCCAGCAGCACAATACACCAGGGACGTTAGAAAGGGGGCGAAGTGGGACAATTGCCCCATGGTCAAACAGTGGGGGGTGGGGCGCAAACAGTTGTTGCTCCCAACCCAACTCACCAAGAGGAATAACATTGTAAAATAAGAAAATAAAATGAGTAAAACAGAGTAGGGTTAAACCTGAAAAAATAAACGCAACAAAACAGCGAACGTGTCGGCAGAAAGCCTTCGTCAGCGAACAAAACAACAGCAAAAAAATGGTATAAAAATAAGAAATAGCACTTAGCTGGTAAGTAGTATCTGTGGGCAGCAATAGAAGTGTGGCAGAAGGAAAATGAGTGAGAGTTTAAATATGCAGCGGCGAAAAAAAGGGGGAGAAAAATGTTCACTGTGATAGGTCAGAACGTGGAGGGGCGGAGCTAGGGTCAAGCTGTGAACAGAGACATAACATTAATCCCATCTGGCGTCAAAGTGACGTAAGTCAGGATAAGTCTGTGTTCCAAATTGACCCGGCTGGCGGTGTTCGTGCTAGCCACAGTCGCACTTATTGAAAAGTCCGCCTTGCCCTGGTGGTCGCTACTATTGAAGTGTTTGGAGACGGGACACTGTTTATCTTGTGTAATGTTTCGGAGGTGTTCGGTACACCTGTCTGAGAGACGGCGTCCAGTCTCCCCTATGTATGTCATCTGACAGCGGGTACAGACAATGGCGTAGATAACGTTGCGGCTTGTACAGAGGAAACCGTCGCGTATCTGAAAACTGCCTTGGGGAAACGTATGTGTTGAGTCTGGACGACAAAAGGGCACGTGTTGCAACAACTGCGTCCACACGGCTTGGTCCCAAAGTGGGAGGGGGGAGCATTGATACGACTGCGTACAAGGAGGTCTCTCAGATTTTTATCCCGTCTATAAACAATGAGAGGTGGGGAAGAGAAAATTTCTCGTGTGTCGGTGTCTTGCCAGTAGTATAGATCGATGTTTAAGGGATTGTGAGGGTGATAAGTTAAAATGAGTTTTGTACTGTCAACATTGTCGCTCAGACGTGGTCTGAAGGCATCAGCACGGGTACTATTCTTAACCCTTTGGAGGGCTGATGAAAGTACTGTCTCCGGGTAAGACCTACACCGGAAAAAGTCTATCATTTCAAGTGCCTTGTCCCAAAAGTCCTCATCCGACCGGCAAAGTCGACGAAGACGAAGTAATTGAGAGAAAGGAATAGAGTCCTTACAGGATTTAGGGTGGGATGAAGAGTAGAGTAGATAGCTATGGATATCAGTGGGCTTAAAGTAGGCAGAGGTGTGTAGGGTCTCTTTGTGAAGAGTGACTGTAATGTCTAAGAAATTGACTGAGGTCTCAGAGATAAGAGATGTGAATTTAATGGAGGGGTGAAAGGAGCCTACAAAGTTAATGAACAGGTCAAGTTCACTCCTCTCCATAGTGGTGACCCCTATACCATCATCTATGTACCTCTTATAGAATTCAGGGAGGCGTCCAGTATAGCTGCTTTCGACCAAGTGTTCGAAATGCCCCATGAACAAGCAAGCATAGCTGGGTCCCATTTTAGTCCCCATAGCAACACCACTGATTTGGTCGAAGAATTGGCCACCAAACTCAAACGAATTGAGGGTGAGGACTAGTTCAGCCAATCTGAGGAGGGTGTTGGTGGGTATAGATGGGTGGGGTCTGGTCTCAAGAAAGAATTTGAGAGCTAAGAGACCGTCAGTGTGGGGGATGGAAGTGTATAGAGAACATACATCAAGAAGAAATAGATGATGTTTCTTTTCTGGAGGGATTGTGATGGATTCAAAGGTTTGTAGAGCATGGTTGGTGTCCTTAATGTAAGTTGGCAGTGAGGCAACGATGGGTTGAAAAACTCCATCAAGGAATTCCGAGAAATGTTCGGTGGGGCAAGAGCATGCTGAGACAATGGGTCTGCCAGGGTTACCATACTTATGAACTTTGGGAAGTAGGTAGAAACATGGCTTACCGAGGTCACTATCGAAGATGTGTAGGGCAGAGGCCGATTTGGGGAGCGCTGATTCTGCAATCATTTTCTTGATAGTCCCTTTCACAATGTCGTTATGTTTGGTGATGGGGTTGTTGGTCCTCGGTTGGTAGAACTGGCTGTCTTCTAGTTGCCTATGAGCCTCCTTGATGTAGAGATCTCTGTCCCACACCACAACAGCTCCCCCCTTATCAGCTGGTTTGATGACGATATCTTTCCGACTGCGCAGCTTAGAGAGTGCGAGTGATTCTCTTTTAGAAAGATTGGATTTCCGGAGTGGAGGTAAAGAGAGGTTCTTGATGTCATGTTCCGTGCTCTTTATATACAAGTCTAAAGCTTTAGATTGATTAGAAGGTGGTGTCCAATAAGTTTTGCGTTCCCTATGAAATGGGAAAATCTCGTCTTCGGGGAGGTCGGTACTTTTCCCACCGAAGTGAAACTGAAGCCTCAAGGAACGAAAGTAGCGGTGGGAATCCGAAAGAAGTTGATATCGGTCGCAAGATGGTTTCAGAGGAATAAATTTGAGACCCTTAGAAAGTATCGACCTTTCGTCATCAGAGAGTGGAAGTTCAGGGGGGATGCACACGACTAAGTTGTTGCCTGTGACAGTTGGATGAGGTGTAGAGTTGTTAGTGGGCCTAAGATTGTCGAGTTTGTTCTTTTTGTTGGTAGAAAGGAAGCGGTATAGTTCCCGATTAAGTTGGTGAATAATAGTTCTTATAAGGTCATACAATAGGCGGTTATTAGAGGTCTTAGAAAAGAGTCGACCTTCAAGATGGTAAATGGCGGCACTGAGATCGGCGATGAGTCGCTTATGGCTGTGTATAAGAATACCCCTTATTACCCCTTGTAAAATAAGAATAAACATTCAATAAAGTTAAAAGTAGGTTAATTCAACTTATTTATTCCAAAAAAAAATCCTTCCAGTACAATAATGGTTTTAAAAAATCATCAGAAATACATTATGATTCATCACAGATGACGATAAATCATGAGGTCTCCATTTTATTACTTAGTCCTTCTGCCTCACGCCTCGTTTTTTCTTTTCCTGATCAGTGTCAGCTGATACATAGACCAGAGCATCTTGTATTTTGTTCGAAACGTTTGGTGAGGTCAACTTTCTCTAATATACTTCTTAACCTGTGTAAAGAGATTGCACAATCGGAACATTATCTAAAACTTGATCTCACCTATTGTAAATGAAAAAGCAGCAGATAAATGATGTGTATTATATAATTGTCTTGTCTAATTCGTGCAATTTTTTATTGCAAATTCAATCTAGATTGAGTTACTGCTTCAATGAATAACTGTGAAAACTGTTGACAATTAGCTATTCTACTATTAAAGTCATTTTAATAATGTGATAGTCAGGGTTGTTAACAATACTAAAAAAAATTATTGGCAATACCAATACCAATACTGCCTGTAAAATCTATTGGCAATACCAATACCAATACAATTTTAAAACCAGTATTGCAATACCAATACCAATATTTATTTATTATTGCCTTACCAATACCAATATTTGGGTCATTCGACGAATAAAACGCAAATACGTAATTCATCGCTCTATATCACTTACATCGATAAACGATAACAACATTTTTGGCTAATTTAGACAATGTATTTTTAACCAAATTTTGTTCAATAGTTAACACTTGCTTCATCAGTTTTCCTCAAAGCATTCAAAAGTCTTTGACAACATATTAAATAAGTCGGCATACCTTAACATCCTTAAGCAACAAGATTTTTAATATGTATACTGTACACATATTGTGAATGAATGAATGGATGGATGGATGAATGAATGGATGAATGAAGCAAATGACTGTCATAGAAAAGCAAATGATACATAAACGGTTAAACATCATACTATAGTAAAAACAGTCAGACCGAGTCAGTGGATTGCATCACATCTGGAAAACTAACGATGAACGATGAATTTTAGTAGAGTTCACAGGGTAACGCCACCTATTTGGCCGTTACCACTTAGCCAGGCGAAGAAAAGTAACCATTTCAAAATGCGCACTGCTCAGTCGTGAACGAAGAGGGGAAAATACTCGTCCTCCTAATGAAAACAACCTTTCAACAGCAGCGCTTGAAGGAAGTCCTGTATTCAGGTCTATGTATATTTTACGGATATGTGGATAGGCATCCAATGATGCAATACTGTCTGAAGTGTCTGCCAAGTAATTATTAATTTCTTGATTCACATCAGGTGAATCATTCACACGATGTCGTCTGGCTGACAATCCAGCGAAGAAGTCTGGCTGATTATCTGTACCATCAGCAGCAGCCGACGTTGCTTTCTGATCATCAGTAGGAGCAACCAACAGTGATTGTGAAACGCGTCTCTTCAGTGCTTCAATAAGATGCGAACGCTGTAAATCATCATCTATCCAGTCCAACTTGAATTTGGGATGTACAACGGATGCCAGCTGAGCATCAATGCTGTCAAACATGTTTGAAAATCTTCTATCGATGGCATTCAAAAGACATGAAGCTAATGGAGAACAAATTACGAGCCGATCATTCTTTCCTTGATCAAGAAACACTTTTAACTGAGCCTTCATCACGACAAGTGTTGGTAGAAGGAAACCAAGTCCAATGTCTTTTTTAGTTTCACCGTGCAAAATATCTAGTCCACAGCAAACAGGCTTCATAACAGCAACATACTCTTTAACAAATGTTTTCTGTACAGGCTGTAGTCTTTTGATATCAAGTTCATCACAAAGTTTGTCAAACTTAACTTCCATGTCACTTACACAGAGAATGTTGTAAACTCTGGTGACAGCATCATACATTGAATGAAACAAAACATTAACTTGACTCACTTTCAAGCAAGAAATTCTGTAAAAGGAAAATTGGAAAGAAAATATTGACCAAAGAAAAAAATGGCATCAAGATCTTGGAAGTATTACCTATCAGTCCATAATATGCGCAATCATTGAAAAGTTATGAACGAAATAGAACGACGCATTCAGGCTACTAAAAATAATTCTAATTACAACAAATTTAATATTATATAAATTAAAAAAAAAATATTTTTCTTTGTTTGGCCTTATTTTTGTTTGTAGGCCCTAGGCACGGTGCCTAAAGTGCCTAAGCCTTAATCAAGCCTTGATAAGTCACTGGTCAATGCTCATTGCCAAAGATATCATATATGATTTGATTTCTATTATCATTCATTTCATTGATCAGTCTCATTCAAAAATTGTTTGGCAATGTCACTCGCAAGATGGCGACACCAAAGAAAAATTTATTATATTCAGCTTTATTCACAACCAATGTTGTAGAGAATTTATT